AATATGGAGGGTTTTTAGGCCATGCGTAAAAAAACACCCTCTACCATAGCTTTCGAAAATGAGATTCATTTCATGAAATTTAAAATGTCATCAGGAACATATTCCCGAAATAGATTGATTTTTCACAGTTCAATATTTCTTCTATTACCCATTCGTTTATTTGGGATGTTTTTATATGATAATCCGATTGTTTACCTGAACCCGAATTCATCTTCTTCCAATTGTTCACCTGAATAAGGAAATCAATGAGGAAAGGACTGCATGAGATGAGTGACAGTGAGGATCTGTGAGAACGAGAGCAACAAGTAGTCCAGCATAAACAAATGCAGACCACACAGATTTATTTATCTTAGTATCATCTTACCTAGTCGAACTTCTCGTCTTTTTCTATCCGCCTGTCATGTAAATAATTTTCCATAGTATTGATATCCACGAACATTAACTTATTCTCTGGAAATTCAAATGTTATCCACGAACATTAACTTATTCTCTGGAAATTCAAATGTATGTCTATCGTACGTGCATCTGTACAAAATCTTTCCGCTTATCATCCGTATTTCTTTCACATACAGAATTCTGTTGTCGTTAAATCTTGCTACATACGACCCAACTGTAAACTTGCACTTATGGAATAGGATACCCATTTTAATAACAACTGTATGCCTCCTTGTACAGAGATTCGGAAGACGAGACTGCTTATTGTATAAAACGCAGTGACTCTTAAAGTTACTCTAAATGAACTGATCGAGAGTATGCATGAAAGTTGCTGCTGACGCTTCTGACATTAATTTTCCGAGAGTTAGCAGGAGTTTTTCGAATGAAATCAAATTTGTGGCGAAGGGTCTCTGCGACTCTGTTTATATACTGGTATTAGTGGTGGCGCTGACCCAGGATATATGTTAGTGGGTCTTTGGTTGATGAATAAAGGAACTCGCAAGGTGTTACTATGACAAGATGCGCATTATTCATGAAATTTGATTTTATCTACATAAGGTTAACCATTTCTGTCAAGGGTAGACTTTTCGTTTTCAAATGTGCATTCTTATAATCATATTGATCGAGGAGAGGCCGAATATTTCATGCAAACCCATTATATGAATGAGATGGAGTATGCCGTCGTGAGACAAAGTGTTGGGCATATAAATTTATTCAATGCATATATTTTCATTTTGTAAACCCACCACCACATAATATTAAAGTGAATGAAATACCCACCACCAAACATATAAAGCAAATAAAATAAAAGTGTAGCAAAATTATTAATTTTCTTCGTCATCTGTCGTCTCGTTTTCGTCGTAGTCCATGTCTCCGTCGTCCTCATCATTAATCACGACTGCGTGTGCGAATTGATCATGGGCTTCCATAATTGTAATCTTCATTCGGAGGCTCCATAATTTTGCAGCCAGCATCGCGGCTGCATCGATTAGTTGAGAAGCATTCGAATTTCCTCACGCTCTGCTTTCCTTCAACTCTTTGAACCTGGCGAAAGACGACCTGGAACAGGCCGCGGTCACTAATGCAGGGACGACTGGCCAAAAGTCTACAAACAAACCATAAGTATAAAATGCAATTAGCTTTATTAGCTCACCCTGCATAGCACGGGAGCTATTGAATTCCTCTTGTCTGTCCGTCCGTCCGTCCGTCCGTTGACGAGTTTTTTGCATCAATTGATGCTGATTAAAAATCCCCTTGTCCATTATAGACTTGTTTGGTCCCACCATTGGTATAGAACAATCCGAGCGCAAATGGTGCAAGTTAATTGAGCAAATAGATCGAGATAGGACTATAATTTTGGAATAAGTAGCACCGTTAGTACCGAGCAATTGGTTATTAAAAATGATGCGTAACAATTGGGATATCTATTTCCCTCAAAAAATTAATGATGGGTAACAATTGGGCCATCTATTTCCCCCCAAAAATCATGTCAGAATTCTGTTCTATTTGTTCGATTATCCTGCACCATTAATGCAAAATTATTTGAAAATTCTATTCTAATCTGTTTGCTCCATTATTCTGCACCATTGACGCTAAAATATATAAATTTTATACTTGCGGTTATTCAGCACATTTGGTCTAAAGTTAAATGAAAGTAATTCCGACATTTTATATATTTTCCCGTTTGTATTGCACCATCGGTGCAAGAATGTATAAGAGTCATGATCTATTTTGTCGGCTTATTTTGCACCTTCAGTGCTAACTTCTGTCTAAATAATTATGACAGGGTGAGCTACTTCTAACGTTACTACGGTTTATTATTCATAAATAAACTCACCCAGATTCTGATCGCTCCACTAGGCTCGACATCCAGAATCTTTTTGTCCGTTTTAGATTATGGATACGCTGATGCTGCTTCTCAGCTTGCATTACGCCCGTTGGGTCATAATTAATTTTTCGGATGGCAGACCTAATCATCATGCAAAGTTCCAACATTTCATAAGGAGTGATCTGTGCAAAAAACAATTTTCATAGTTAAATATACATTAGTGCCATAATGCACTTACCGTCATAACTGGGTAGCTCGGCTTGAACCTGAGATTTTGTCGAATCATGAGCATATACTCGTTTCTACGAGTAGACCTCGATTTTTAATTGAAATTCTTTTACAGTTCTGATTTCTCCGTGGACCCAAAAGTCTGGGTTTTTCGAGTTGCGTGAAAGATGTAGTGGTTCTTGTGGCGGGCCTTGCACAGGTCGAGGCGATTCGAAAACCTCGTCATCGCCGTCATCGCCCAGGTCATTGCAATGCTGGTCAGTATCCATTCGTTGCAGGAAGCTCCACAGCTATTTCTTCCACAACCACCTCGGCCATTGACACTAGCACCTCCGGCACCATGTCTCCACCACCCATCACTCCAGCCTCCACCATTAAAGCATTTGAAAAACAATAAATTATATGATTTACGAAACTTACGAACATCTCTAAAGTAATTTTTGGTGCGACACCATAATTTTTGTTGGTAAGCTGATCTTTGTAAATTTACGCAGTCACGAAGAATTACTTACCTTCGTTGATACTGCAATTCCATTCCTCAACTTCATCTCGGAGTTGTTGCCCGTCATCTTCTGGCGAAGCATCACCAGGGCTTTGGTGAACTGTGAAATTTAAATACCGAGTTGAAATTAATATCACTTTAGCGTAGTCATAATATTTTAATAATGAGTTTCCTCAAGCTCCAATTTGAGTCAGGGTTTGATTTTGAGGTTGCGACCGAGGAGTTGGTGGATAAGGAGAAGAACGTGACGTAACTAACCCGTGCGATTGAAAAATCTCCAGCCAATGCGTCGGGTGACGACGACTAGAGCTCCGGCCAAAACAAACACGCCCATCAGCAACATTCCTGTATTTAGCATGGTTTACTTAATTTAAAATTCACAATGGTGTAAAGAATAAACTCTTTCGCCATGAACGAGAGTAACATAATTTTTAGGAGTGTAACTCACCAACGACAATGAGAAGGAAGGCATAAAGGCATTCCCCCTGTTCCTAGACAGACTTAGGATGTGGTGGGGGTCGGTACACATCCTGAACGCGAGTGGAGGGACAATAGTCCTCCAGATCCTCCCCACGAAAGACCCCCTATCCTGGGCGCATAATTTTGCGGGACATCTTGACCCCAATAACACCATTGGGATACACAAGGCTCACACCATGATGTCGGTGAACACGACATTTAAAGTATTTTGTGTAAAACGACTAGTCGCACAGCGAGAATGGAATTGAGAGAGGTCACTTGTTCAAAGTTGGAAGGACTTTAACTTTAAAAATATATTTTCACAAAAAAATGCTCTATTTGAGAAGTAAATGCACTCTGAATTCTATATTAAGTAAACATGCCACCACCACAACATTGCGGTCGTGGTGGTGGACTCCCGGGTCTCACTTGCATGGTGAAAGTGAGATGGGCGAGGAATTGCCCCTTACGCTCATGGCGTCGTCGCCATTCGATATAACGTTGGCGAATGAGCCACACCCATTCGCCAACTATTGCTAAACTAAACTACTGACAGTAGTTTAGTTTAGCAATAGGGGGGTATTATGCGCCAAAATTTAAAAATTGTCGTACTACATACTACATGTCATACTACATGTGTACCAAATTCATTCATTCATCCAGAAACTATTCCGTTTGTTATATTTTTTAAGGGGTGCACAATGTGCAGGGGTGCGATTGAGCTGGTGTGATTGAACGGATGCAAGTGGGCTGGGGTGCAAAATATGCTGGGGTGCGATGGAGCGGGTGCATTTCTCTGTATACAGTAATTTCTCTCTCTCTCTGCAAGTTCCAGGTGTGAGTGTTTTTTTCATGGATGTGATGTTTTTCCAATCAGTGGGAAGTATTTATGTATTGTACACGTAGACTAATGAACGGGCCGTGCATAAAGCATGTAAGGAAAGTCATGCTGACAAAATATATAATACATAAGTAAATGGGATATGTATAATACTCTAGAACTATTCCACCGTGTCACCACATTTGCATATTTATTGCGCCAGGAGACAGAGTTGCAAAGGTGAAAATGTGTGTAGTGAGATTTATGCAAATTATGTAGGTGACAATAATGAAATGAACGGTGTCCAAAAATCTTGATTTATGGACGACCCCGAAATTCAGAAACTACGAGTCATTGGATCGCATGTTTAACTCGTTCGACTCGTGGATTAGAATTCGATCGCATGTGAAGGGCCAGATATAAAGGATGTCATCGATATTTATCTGTACATGCACTCCTTTTAACCTCTCACTATACACGTGTAATGGAATCCTTATCACAGAAATGCGACGCCGTGTACGGCTAACAGCTTTATTCAAATCAGCAACATTTTGTATGTACGGTCCCTCACGTGGACAAAGAACGACAGAAGCACAAACTTTTTTACACATGTAAGGAAGTAGGAAGTACATATGTATGTGTGTACGAGAGATCATGATGTGAACAAGATGTCTTATGCGAAATTTAAGAAATATTTATGTGAAGATATGTTTAAAAAATTCAGAGGATAATAGAATGAGTATATATTTAGTTAGTCGGATAATTTGTAGATATATTTAGTTAGATACATAGTTGTTTAAAAATATGTGTCACTTGTGGGAGAGCATGTCCTGTAGCTGTGAACTTTTTAGACACCTTAATAAAGCTTCAAAAAAAACTCTTACGAAAAAATTTGCATACGCGTCCTGCATTACACAATCAGCATCTGCAAATTCGTTTTTGAAATTTCATTCACGGTGGACTGGGAAATCTTAATTTGGTTTCAGAGCAAATGAAATTTTTATTGTCAAATACGTACATATTTTCAGCAAATTATGAATAAATACACATAAATAAATACAAAATGAAAAAATGGAATGGGAAATCGGGAAGAATTAAAGACGCTTTAAAAATAAAGAACTTTTAAACCAGAAGTCAGACACATAGTTCCAGTTTTGATTTTCAGCCAGGACAACGGTGATCATTAAGTATAGATTGACGAGTAAATCTTGCCTTACAAATTGAACAGGTGCACGTCTGCTTGGGATGCACGCGCAGGCGATGTTCTATCTCCAAGAGGATGTCGCGAAACACGGCGGGACAAAATCTGCACGTGATTTCCGATTCTTTACTCTAAATATATATATAAATAAAATAGTTAAAAATTTTCGTCCAACAATTGATCGAGGTCTCTCAGCGTATGCTCTCACAGTCAGATTTTGACCAAACTATTGTCAATGGATTACTAATTTAAGTAATATGAACTTTTCAAAAAACACGATCACTTAATGGTTCTATTTGGTAGAAATATTTGCATGCGAAGGAAATTCGACTTACATAAATTTGAAAAATTTTAAGCTTTCCAAATTCACAATGGGTTTATTCCTCCTCTTCGGATGCAAATATCTCTGCCAAACGTGCCCATTAGGAGATTGTGTCTTTCGTAAATTTCATATTAATTATGTAAATTTCTGATATCTATCTAGATTGGCACTAATTTGGCCAAAATTTTAGATCATATCATTGTTAGTTAGAGCTAGAGCTTTGATTTTAAAATAAACTCACCGTTTTTGGTGAGTCACACCCCTCCAAATGCTTCACCCAGGCAGCCTCCGAGACAATCTTGGTTTCGCATCCATACGGACAGGACGTCTTGTCCGGGAAATGGGCCAGTTCCACGTGACGAGTCTTGTTTGACGATGAGGAAAAGATGTTTGGGCATATTGCGCAGGAATGCCGCTCTTCTTTGCTGGAACTTGCTTCAACTGGGACATCGTGACACTTGCGCATGTGCCTTTCAAATAAGAAAAAGCGGTTGAAGACTTCCGGGCACAGGGTGCACTTCCGTTGAAAAGGAGCCAAGTCGTGGAAGGTTTGCTTATGTCGGTTTAAGTTGTAGCACGAGGTGAACCTCTTGGTAGATTTTGGACAAGGATATGGCTTCTTTTTTAGTCTGTAAAAATTGTAAAATGAGACCGCTCATAAATCATGTAACGCAAAAACCGCGATTTTCTGCCCCCCCCCCTGCCCTCATTTTAACATGTGCAACATGGGCACGATATCTTTGGAACTTTAGACCTTTACACTGTTTCGTCACCTAATCTATGGACGTCCCCTCAATGTCATTTAATCAATTTTAGGGAGTACCTATGTTTAATTACAAGAAAAAGGATTAATTCGGGGGCGTGATAAAAATTGTGTGTGCCATAATGTGTGAGGAGGAATTAAGTAGTTGTAATACAACTCGGAAAGGTTCACACTTTAACATTGCGTTATATTGAGAAATATCCCAATTTTGGGGAAGAAGGGTTCTAATCTAACAATTGGTTGGGATGAGAGAAATTCCTCAAAATTTGTAGACAGATTTTATTCTGCGGAGAGAAAACGGTGAAAATCAATAACCTTTCAGAAACTACAATTGTCTTCCGTCCGCAACATAATTTTTCTGGACGACCTTTCTCGTCCTCCCGGGCTAAACAATTTCTCAGAAAACGACAAAATTCTAGGATCTTCACGAAAAGATCGAGAAAAGATGATCAGTTTCAATATGGCAAAATTTTCCAAGCAAGCTGGAAAAGGTATGAGAAATAATTTCACAGAAATTGTGCGAAATCAAATTAAATCAAGTATGTAAAAATATTCTCAACTTATGAAAAATGGAAAATATATGTAGATTCTAGGATTCAAAACACAGAATGTGCTCACCGTTTGGCTCGTTTTATTGCCGCTGTGGAAATAAATTCAAGAAAATTAGAAACTTAAATTATTTTTTTATGGAATTGTTAAATGTAAAATAAGTTTATGTATGAAATTTATTGAATACGCGTCTACAATTGCCCCGTGTCGTGGTGGTGGTTGCCATGGAGACGACGGGGGTGGGATTTTTGGGTGCGCGTCTCTCTTTGTTAAGTCGTAGTAAGTAAGTAGGTAGAAGAATTCTACACAGTCGAGTTTTAGTCGTTGTCAAAGTCAGACATTTTGGATTTTAGTCGTCGTGGTAGGCAGTCAAATTTATGAATTGTTAGTTCTTTTTTGTTGCCCACGATCAATTTATAATTAAAGTAAGTCATCAATCAACTCGTGTTGTTGCAGAGCTCTGAATTGTGTTGACCATCGTTTAATTGATTTAAATAAAATCTAGTTTAAGTAGATAAAATAATCGTATATTCACTCAGTCACTTTCTTTAATTCCAACGAGCAAAGCACAATTAAATATTCGTAAAGACACTATACTCCGGGTAGGTGATAGCTTGGTTTTTACAGGAATCATGAATATAATCTTACCGGGAGGATGTATTTTCTTGTCCGTCATGTGCCCCTTGTAGTTGTGATACCTAAGAAACGTGACGTTCGGCTGGCATATTTTGCATTCAAATTTTAACTCAGGTTTGGCGAAAGGTTCACAATTTGTAAAGTTTTTCTTTGCTACGGCTGTGGAAAAATTTAACAGGTAAATTTTTACTTAAATTTTTTATGGAATGTACACTCTTAAAAATAGTATCACCCTGTAATTGTAAAGGAAATTCACTCTGAATTCTGCATGAAGTAAACTTAGCTAAATCCAGACTAGCGTAAACTTGATAAAGGGGAAAGTTTACGTTGGATTGGCATAATGTAGTTTACTAATTATAGAATTTAGAGAGGATTTAGTTTTCAAAAAGGTAACACTATTTTAAGGAGTGTTTGTATAATCTCACCGGCAATTTCAGCGTCGGAAATGTCGGGATGAATATTCTTGTTTCTCATGTGGCGCAAGAGGTTTTCGAGGTACGTGAACCTTTTGTCACATTCATCGCACGCAAATTTTTTTGATGCTAATCGAGCCTGCACGCCTAGATAATAAATGAAGAAATATTTTAAATTCGATTATTATTGATCGCATATATACATATGTATGTCGCATATTAAATATCTACTCTAATAAAGCGTTAGTGTTAAGTCGCTGAGTGAGTGATCGAATGCAAATTGCCCCATAGAGAAGACAAAGAAGGAAGCGGAGCAACCACTGCATGCATGAATTCATACTGCATGAGAAACACAGTGTTCAAGTAAATTGAGTGAGTGAGCAGTAATACATCACTCATCATCATCAATAGTGGTTATCATGATAAGTGATCGTGATAAACGCTATTAATTAATTATTTTAGTTTGAGAAACTCCACCCACAGCGAGTAGCATATCAATTCGAATGTATTTTTGACGCTGAATCCGAATCCGTCAATAGCTTGGCGTTAATTGTAGAAGTTAACGGGGTTTATGGAACTTAACGGGAGTGTGATGCGTAGGAATTTAAATAATTAGCTATGCAGTTACTCCCACGCGACGGGAATTTAAGTAATTTAATAGTTAGCTATTCAACTACTCCCACTGGGGGAAATCAAATTGTACTGTGACCAGATTAATTAAAATGCAGTATGGCTTGGGCAAACCCTCACTCTGATGTATGTATGTGGTATGACAAAGTCTCCACTGGGATTTAAAGTATAGTATGACGGATTTTTCGCTTTGGGCACACCCCCCACTGGAACTCTAGAACCCGGCCCATGGCCGGGCTATACGCTAGTGGCCAAATAATTTGCGAAACTCGCAAGATTTGTGTTGAGTGAAACCCTATCTTCTCAATTAAATACTCTATATAAATTGCAAATGTTAAATCAATTGAATCAACTTAAAACAGCGTTTGCACAGATTTCCGAAATTTTTAAAGCTTGTGCTGGATAACCATATGATTTTTTCACAAGTTTGTTTAGCATATTTTTATTTCGTCATAAAACTCACGAGCAAAACTAGAATCCGAAATGTCGGGATGAATATTCTTGTTCTCCACGTAGCGCCTGTAATGGTCACCCCTGGAAAATGTGACGTTAGGTAGGCATATTTTGCACGCAAATTTTGATTCAGGCTTGACATCGGAATTTGCAATGACTGGGTCTGAGTCCGAGTCGCCGTCCTCACTTTCTGACGTGTCCGGTTCGTAAAGAGGATCAGGCGTGGGATCGCCGGTCTTATCGTCAATGTTATCGGTGATAGGCTCGACTTTTACGGAGAATTCTTCTTCTACCTCAATCCATCCAGTTAATTGTTGGTCATCATCATCATTTTGAGGAATTTGTTCGGCAGGAGAGTTATTGTCGGTCGCTGTTTCGTGGGAAAATTTCATGTACATTTACAATGGAAGTATCCCAGCGTACGCTCTACGATTTTGAGCAAAAATTAGATTTACTCGATTTACTTATTACCTATGAAATTTTCATAAGACACGATCGCCCAATGGGCCCGTTTGGCAGAGATAGCTGCATCCAAAAAGGAGAATTAAGTGCGCCCTAATGTCCCCTAATGTTTCACTTTCCAAATTTACGACACGTTGTCTCCTCTTCGGATGCAAATATTTCGGCCAAACGTACCCATTTCACATTCGGAGATTGTGTCGTTTGCAAATTTTATACTACTTAACTGAATTTGGAATCGATTGACACAGGTTTACTCAAAATCAAGGAGCATACGCTGGGAGACCTCCATTGGGTTGAAGTTAGCATAATTTAATTGCAATTTAATTTAACACGATTAATTACCACTAATTTTGGATTCATTTCGCAATTTATGAAAAAGTCCGTTCCTACTGGAAATCACGGCACGCAGAGAAATCGTAATATTTTCGATCTGCGTGGACAACTTGGCCAAGGAGAGGATCACGGAGGAGCAAATTTTGCAACAAAGTATTGGAGGATGATCGTCAGTTTGTAAAATGAGGGAAATTTGCTCCTGACTTAGGACGAATTTGGCAAGAACTTCCATTTCTTGGAGAGCGAGAGGACGCAGATTTATCGATTCGGAACAAATCGAGCACGACCTTAATTCTGGGGATGAAATATCCCCCTCAATTTTCACTGAAAACCTGTGATCGTATTGCGTTGGGGGAAGAAAATTTGTCCTTTGCAAACGAACCGTGGAACAAAGTAAATCTTGCAAAATATGTCGCGTCCCATTTTTCGAAAGCCCGTTATCTTTTGACATTTTTTGTCTGTAACCTGCAAAAAATGCCGTTCAAATATATTTTGTTGTTTGAAATTTAAATGTATTTATTCTCCATTCATGCAGGTTTGAATTCTTACAGAAATTGAGAATTACATTGAAAAACTATGCCACTCTGTGTCTCAAATTGCCTCAAATAATGATGACGGGGAACTTTGAGACTGGCAGTGGCGTAGCTACATACATACTCCGAATTCTGAATTTCTATAAAAGTTCAAACTTGCGTGGAACGAGAGTAAATACGTTCATTTTAATTCATTACTCGTTTAAGTCATGTATTCGCATTTACGACTGTACTTACTTATTCTGGTTGAATGAAGAGAAGATGATGAACTATTTGAATCGACTAAATTTAAATTGATGGAAGAAAACTGAATTAAAACTGCAAACTGAAGCAAATTAAACGTACATAATTTTACGTAACCGGCGTTGAAGAGCACATATGTAAATGTCGATTTGTTTTGCTTTGCCAGCTGGGAGCCATCCATATAGTATGTCATCAAAAATTCTCGGTTTTAGCACCCACCCACCCAACGTATACATTAAGGGATAAAGAATTGTAACTTGGAAAAGTCAAGAACCATCCACCAATAAAAATTATGACGTAATATATGAACGTTCCCCTGCTATTTTTTATCGAAGGCCGCCTGCATGAAAACGGGGAATCTGACAGAGAAGTGAATTATTCCACTTTCTCCTCTCTCATCTTTTTCATATGAATATTGAGCAAGTATGTAAATCATGTAACTCTTCTCCATGTGTAAATACAAAATATAAAAAGCATATTTATTTGCATATGAAGTATGTATTAAATTATTCCTGAATTTGGATACCTTGTTGTAAAAGGTTCACAATTTGCACTTTAAAAGCTTCGCTGAGTTTGTGCACATGACTAATAATCACAATCTTCTTATACGTATTGGCTGGGTCCCTTTTACCTCGGCAAGTTTTATAATGCTTGTTGAAGCCGTTGATGGATGTGTAGCCTTTTTTGCACCTGAGGCAGAATAGTTTCCTGTCGATGTCTACGACTATCTTATCATGCACAAGTTTAAAGTGCTCACGTAGCCATTTTCTTTTATGATTAAAATTAATTTTACATGGTTTACAACGCTCTTTATCTGTAGTTGTATCTAACTCGTCGGAGTCATCGTCGTCGGAGTCACTTGTTGTCGACGTTTCGGGTTCGTTTGGAGCATCGGGCGTGATATCGTCGGTCTTATCGTCGACGACAGGCTCGACTTTTACGCAGAATTCTTCTTCCACCTCAATGAATCCGGTTAATTGTTGGTCGTCATCTGTGTCAGCATGACAGCCGCCGTCGGTTTCTACAAAAGTAATTCGTGAGAAAATTCTACATGAAGAATTGAGGACTCTCAGTGTGTGCTATTTAAATTTTGAGAAACTTAGTGTCCCTAAATTGCAAATTTAATTTAAATACAATTTGTGAAAGACTTAATCTCCCCATGGTCAAATTTTGTCGAGGTATTTGCATCAGACGAGGAGAAAACGTACCGTAGACTTGATAAATTGTACATTTCCCAAATTTACTAAAGGTGTTCGGACCTCTGCCAAATGTGAACATTAGGAGATCGTATCTTTTGTTAATTTCATATTAATTACATAAATTTTTGGTTTAATTTGGTTCAATTTTGAAAGGATACGTTGGGAGACCTCTCCCTTATGCAAGATAATATAAAGCCATAACTTAACTATAGTTTACTTTAACACGGTTAATCGAGTATGCAATCTAGATTATTACTTACCACTAAGTTTGCACCCAATTCGCAGGTTATCGAATAGTCCGTCGTTGTCATGGTCATAAGTTGGGTGCGGTTTTATCGAGAATTTTTCCTCCTCTTCAAGGCATTTAGTTAATTGCTGATCATCATGGTTAGAAACCTTGTGACATTCACTTTTAGCAGCTATTTCTAAATTAAGTGAGTATAAAGGATTAATTAAATTACAGTTTAGTTTGACCCAATCGATTAGCTTGCTATTTACCGATTTTGGATTCTGAATTTTTTAGTTTATGAAACAGTCCGTTCCTGCTGGAAATCACGGCGCGGAGAGAAATCGTAATATTTTCAATCTGCGTGGACAACTCGGCCAAGGAGAGGATCACGGAGGAGCAAATTTTGCAACAAAATATTGGAGGATGATCTTCAGTACGTAAAATGAGAGAAATTTGCTCCTGGCTTAGGACGAATTTGGCAAGAATTTCCATCTCTTGGAGGGCGAGGGGACGCAGATTTATCGATTCGGAGCAGATCGAACAGCACAACCTTAATTCTGGGGATGAATTATCTCCCTCAATTTTCACTGGGAACTTTTGATCGTATTGCGCTGAGGGATTAAAATTTGACCTGTGGAGACGGATTAGATTAGAATTTATTGCTCCCTTTTATTAGGCCTTAGCTACGTGAATAACATTATTGTCAAAAGTAACATGATTTGCTTTTTTATATATCATATAATTTATTTTACATATTATGTAAAATAAATAACCTGTGGAGACGGACCCTGGAGAAGAGTAAATCTTGCAAGATGTGCCTCCCATTTTTCGAGAAACTGTCATATTTCGGCATTTTATATCTGTAGAAACAAAATTTACTTGGAGTTTTGTTTATTTTTAATGTAAAATGGGAACACAAACCTTTTAACAAGTTCAATAAGTTAAAAGTTTTTGCATTTCGGTTAAATTGTACATATGTACACGTATTTTTTTAGTGAGATTCAGCTCGTGAAAATTAAGTAATTGAATTGACTAAATTCAAATTGGTGGAAGGAAATTTAATATGCTAACTGGCTGTGAAGTAGGTTTGTTTTGCTTTGTCAGCTGTTGATTTGATGGTGTTTTTGAGTCGTAGGCCGCCTGCCTGGAATCGGGGACAAAGTAGTGAACTGTGTGCATCTACATAGTTTGTCTAACGCGTAGAGTTATATAATGTAACTTTACATTGTAAAGTCTAACTTCTCATCTCGTAACTTTTGCATATATATATCGTCGTTGAAATTCAACGGTTGAATATGCCTTTGGTTAGAATATGCGTTCAAGTCCTAGTTGCAAATGCCAAGAAACCCAAACCGTGGTCATTGCATTCGGAATCGAGCAAAAACACCAACCAAAACCATAGAAATTTTTGCAAAAACACATTTTTCTCCTTTGGAAGAAGATAGTACAAACATTTTCATACAATTAATTAGGGACACCTCGAGTACCGATTATTGTAATGATAATACTCGATACCCTACATTACATTTAAAATTGTCCATGTTGCGAAACATTTAAACCATCCGACACTTACTTAATTATAAAATTGCCAATTATTTAATTGATTTTTATACGTGCCGAATAACATACCTATTTGATAAAATATGGGCCATATTTTATGGCCTTAAACTTAATAACAAATTGTTTTCATGGAATGAAACTCGTTTTCATGAAAATTTTTCATGGCATGCAAAACATCTCTCTGGGACTGTGCAAAAAGCATGTGGTCAATTTGACGGGGGACACTAGTCGAGGCATCAATTGGTTATTACAATATAAGGGTATGGTCAAATTCTCCTCGATCACATCCTTTATGTACTGACCCCAATGGTGCTTGGGGGACGTCCATATATAACGTCGGCAAAGAGGTGGATGGCTGGTTTTCGGTCGTGTATCTTGTTCATGGTTAGGTTAACATGAGTAATATAGAGAAGGGATGGTCAAAAAATTGGTGTTTTATGATAACGCAATATATGCACGTTCCCTCGCTACACTCGTCGTTCCCAGTATATTCTACACACAGCTGAGAAAACACAGCAAACAAATGACGGACTTTGTGTATTCACAATTTGTAATTTGTTTATTTAATCCGTCAATAACTAAAGTAAAATAATACCATTTTTTTACTAACAAATTCTAAAGTTAGGTACAAAACTATATTTTTGCAATTCAGTTGATCCACACAAATTTTCAAAGTAAACATTCCCAAATAAATTCCCCTAAAATGGGGAGGGTACATCGAAGCATCTTACTGCGCCGTGAAAGACTTAAAAAATATCAGGCGGATAAGCGACAACGAGCCATGCGACCCCCGTCTCCCCCACTTCCCCCGGAGGAATTAGAGGTCAAACTCGAGTTTGGCGAGATACCAGGGATGGATCTCGACTTTGAAAGTTTGCCGGAAATTAATACAGCTGATAATAACTTATCGCCTGAACCTGCACCCGAACAATGGTCACCACCTGTAGGTAAGAAGTTTTTCAGTAATTTTCGGATTTTGCGTAGTTCCTTATCAAAATTTAAGGTTACCAACTCTAAATATGCTAAATACTTACATTTCCGTCAAAATTTAATTTAGGACTTGACGACTCACAAAACACTGACCTCCACTTATCGACCCCACAAGTAGCACTAGCACCACCTCCGCGGTCGAGGTTCACCCGAGGTAAAAAGTTTCCAGTTTTTCTCACATTCGGATGCACTAATTATTTTTACCCAAATTATAAAACTAACTAAGGTTGAAAGTTATAAAATACAATTCCGTCAAAATTTAACCCGAGTTATATCAGTGATTAGTTATCACAGTAATTGGTAACTCGTAAAATTCGGGCGTTTTGTAAAATCACTTTACAATGTTTTCCGAAATAAAACGAAGTAGCTAAGTTTAGACAAATTTTCTTTGGAAGAATTTGGAAAATTTAGTATTAAATTTAAAGTTTTAACTTTCCATGTTTTATTATTAAGCACTGAGTACTAATAAAATTAATTCAATTTACAAATTTAATTTCTAGAAAGGAGGAAAAACACTAATCTGCCCTGCCTCCTGTGCCGCACCCTCACCCCGAATCTGCCCCCTTTTCCGGAATCTGACTTGGTACAATCCAGCGCTCGGGTGATCTTCCTGCTCCGGCAAATCCTTACATTTCCCGCCGTCCGGTGTGGCTATTTCGTGCGGAGTTACGGTCATCCCGCCGAGTGGGTGGTTCTCTGCGAGGCCTGCGCCCCCATGGTCGCCCAGGCAAGCGATCTGTTCGCGGAAATGGAAAATCTCCGCGCCCAATACGATCCATTGCGGATCGCATTAAAAAATCAAATCCTTGAGGACGCGAATGAAAAGTTTGCCTATTTTCAAAACGACGGCGAAGGATCTGCCATAATCCGAAAAATCGCGAAAGCGGTCCGGTCCCATGTCAAAATTAACGATAAGAGGGCGCAAGGTCGGTTTTAGCAGAAATAATGTTCCTCTTTTTTAAAAAGTATTCGCACTCTGAATTTGAAACTAACAATGGAGGCGCAAACCATGTTCAGCCCAGATAATTTTTTGATCTTATTAGTTCGAAAGAGCAAGTCTTTACAAACAACATTTAGTTCGGCACTTGGGCAGATGCGCAAATTTCAGCGTTATGGGCACCGCAAGTTCGCAAAAACGCACGAAGTTGAGCTCGCGCTGGGCATTGTCCGAAAAATCGTGCGTTTTTGCAAACTTGCGGCGCCCATAACGTGCTGAAATTTGCGCATCTGCCCAAGTGCCGAACCAAATGTTATTTGTGGAGACTTGCTCTTCCAGACTAATAAGGTCAAAAAATTATCTGGGCTGAACATGGTTTGCGCCTCCATTGTAAGTAAAATGTATTAAATCCAGAGTAACATTAAAAACTAAATTTTACTCTGGATTTAATATAGCTTACTGAAGATATAATTGAGAATGCATTTACATACTTTTCAAGATGGTACCATTACTTTGAAGAGTGCATCTTTAATTATAGATCTCAAATTTTTACCAAGACGTAAGCCAAAAGCCAAAAAAAAAGGGGTCGCCCAGCCAAAGAGACAAGTTCAACAATGGGGGGGACAAAGGGGACAAATCGAGCAATGTCTGGGAGAAAGAGAACAAATGGAACAATCGTAAGGACGAAAGGGACAAATGGAGCAATGGGTGGAAGAAGAAAAGCTCCATATTATCCAATGAGTGGACAATTCGGAAGCCGAAAAAGAAAAAAGAACACACGAAATACTCCAATTAAACCGGTACGCTGGTTTATTCTTAATTTTGGGGACGTTCGTAATTTACGATTCGTAAACTTCGTAGCGCAAAAAAAGGCTGTATGGGTCGTCAGGGCTTAATATGAGACACATGTTCAAAAAAGGGGGTGCCCAAAAAAATTTGTGTTACGGAGTTTACAGACCTTAATCTCATAACCTTTTTCCCAGAACATAGACCGAACGAGCCATTGCTATTTTCTGAGGGTCATGCATGCAATCTTGATGAAAACTTGAAGGTATTCTATAAAATCACTCAAGGGGAGGGAAACATCTGGCAGTTGAAAAAAACTTAAAATTTTACTTTTTCACCCTAAAAATACAAAAAAACTCCGAAAAACTGTATTTTTGGGGGTCAAAAAATAATTTCCTGTGGCGAAACACACTTGACTGTGTTTGCCTTAATTATTTGCACATTTTGGACGTGTAAATCAAAACTGAACAAATTGTAAAATTAGTGGTTGACCCTCCACATAAGCTGGATTGAGTAAATTATGAACTGTGCGGATGAGGCCGAGCTCGCGGCTTTCTTCACTCTCTTGTCTGGAGGCAAGGGGTTTCTTACTCATTCGCACGCTACATAATTTACTTATCCAGCTTATGTGGAGGGTCAACCACTAATTTTACAATTTGTTCTTTGTTCTGAGTTTTTTTTGTATTTTTAGGGTGAAAAAGTAAAATTTTAAATTTTTTTCAACTGCCAGATGTTTCCCTCCCCTTGAGTGATTTTATAAAATACTTTCAAGTTTTCATCAAGATTGCATGCATGACCCTCAGAAAATAGCAATTGCTCGTTGGGTCTATGTTCTGGGAAAAAGGTTATGAGATTAAGGTGTGTACGAACGTAATTACAATGAGCGTACTCACGACGATAACGTCTCATTTGAAATGAGTCATCTTGTTCCCAATCTTGCTCAGCTCAAAAATTTGTGTCGTGTGGGGATTCGCAAAAAATACGAATGATTGTACAAACTCCGTGATCTTATTTTGCTTCGAATTATTTGCAACTTCCATTTAGAAAATTGTTTTAAAGCATTTAATGATTAGGATAAACGAATTCAAAACCATGTACTGGGAAAATTTCCGAAAAAATTGTATCTGTCTTCCAACCGAAGTTTAGACAAATTTTGCAAGTTGCTTGTTACGCTTGCACAATTTGCAAATTTGACGTGAGCATGCTGATAAGATAAACTAATTCGTATTAATAAATAGTTTCTACTTTTTTTAGACCCCTGAGAGTGAGCCCCACTTTCCCATTGAGCTCTACCCCACCCTAGATTTCGCGGATGCTCTTCTCGGGGAGGAAATTTGCCCCCAATTCGAGGAGGACCCCCTCAAAATCGAACCCTTCCAGCCAAACATTGAACCCGACGATGCAATAATCGAACCCGACGAACTAAAAATTGAAACAGACGACATAAAAATCGAATCTGACGAGTTAAACATTGAACCCGACGACCCAAAAATCAACGCCCCCTTCAACTCGAATCCGACAAGGAGTTTCATCCCCCCGAATCCGAATCCGGCGAACACAAAGATGTCGACGACCACCAAGAATTCACAACCTCTTCCAAGCACAAAAGTTCCACAAGACAGGAAACGACCACGGTAACTAATTGAATTTCAATTTATTTATGTCATTGAAATAAGATTTCGGAAATATTTCGATACTTTAATTAATCATGACTGCTGTATTCCCAGAACTGCCCTCCAAAACAAAATGTCCCCCACACCACAAAACTGGAAAAGACCAAGATCTCAGTAATTAATTAAATTATTGAAATAATTTCTCAAATATTTGAATGATTTTAATTAATTTCCACTTTATCCCCAGAAGAAATGCCCTCCAAAACCCGTTGCCCTCACTACAAAACTGACCAAGACCAAGATGATGGTAATTAATTTAATCTATTCATTTAATTACCGACTAGTACTTTAATTTGAATAATGACCATTTTATCCCAAGGATTCTGCTTCGACTTCCGCTACAAAACCCGTCCCTCCTCCCCTCGTCAAAAAAACACTCCCCCGAAAGAAGCCCACCACCCCCGAGGATGACGACGCAGCCTTCTCCCTCCTCCCCATCCCCGTTACCCCAGCCTGGACCTGGCTCGACTTTGTCACGTGGCGGACCACCCACGCCAAAGCGAATCCCCCAACCTATTCCAGACTCAATACATCCATCAAAACCCCTCCCTTCTCCTGGCTCGCGACGCACTATTCCATAACCACCTTCCCGTGTCCCCACTGCCCCTGCGAATTCCCCACTTTGCCCACCTGGTCCGCCCACCAGCCGGCCTGCCGCCCGAAAAACCCCACCAGGTCCCAAAACCCCACCCCGATCAGAGAAGATACCCCCTACCCCATCCCCGTCACGCCCACGTGGACCTGGCCCGACTTTGTCACGTGGCGGAAAACCTATATCCGCACCCACTTTAGAAAGACTGATCCCCCCACACAAATCCCCACCCTGACCTGGCTCGCGGCCCACTACTCGATTACGACCTTCCCCTGTCCCCACTGCCCCCAAATCTTCCCCACATTACCCACGTGGTCCGCACATGAGCCCATATGCCCCGAAAACACCACCCCCGGCTACAAATGCCCCACCTGCCAGCATCATTTCACCAACACGACCAACCTCGAAGGCCACCAGCGCAGGAAACACTTGCCCCGCGAGGCGCTAACTTGTTCTGGGTGCGGCGTCCTCTTCCTGGAAATCGTGCCCTTCACCGCGCACGTGACTGCGCCTGATGTCGCTCCAGCCTGTCGCGAGGCCGCAATTCCGTGCAAAATTGGCCCCCACGTGGTGCACTACTTCCCCACCACGGCGGCATTCGAGCTCCATGTCGAAGCGCGCCACCCGCCCCAGTGGGCGCTCCCGTTCGAGTGCCCCCAATGTCCGAAGCGCTTCGGGGTGTCGGCCGTGAGGGAAAAACATATCGCCACGATTCATAATTCGACCATTGGCGTGTGCGAAGTCTGTGGCGCGAGTATGAAGGAAAGTTCGCTCCAGAGCCATATGAGGGAGGTCCATAAGAGCAGGGAGCCCGGAGCAAAGCGGTAAGCTTAATATGTACCTGTTCACATTCATTTATTCAATTGAAAATGAAAAAAATGTTCATTTATGACTCCATAAATTCATGAAAGTGAATAATTTTCACAAAATTTTTGAGTGAATAAATATCGAAAAAATATTTATTCACGTCAAACTCGTGAAGAATTAATGAATAATTTTATTCATTTCTCCCGATGTGCTAAACACTGAGAAATCCATCGAATTAAGGATAAAATTAATAATACGTAAATTTTTACTTTCAAATTTTGAATGAATGAATAATGAATGAACAATTTGCTCTACTTTTTATATTGAATTAATTTTGATAAATTGATATCTTTTGAACAGGTTCGTTTGTGATATTTGTGGGCGCGGGATGATTTCACAAGTTAAGCTGACCCGCCATCGGCAGATTCATATCCGGCCCGAGGACGCGCAACATTTGTGCACCGAATGCGGGAAGAGGTTCCGGTTGAAGGAATATTTGGTCATTCACATGTATTCCCATGACCCCGAGAGGAAGGGGTATTACAAGGGGAGGGGGAAGGGTGACCCCCAGCGGAGGGGGTTGGGCGGTGCCAAAATTGGGAGACCGCCAGTCAACCGGAGGGAAGACGAGGGGGAGGGAGACCAGGATTCCTTGGGAGAAATGCATTCTAAATAATCTCTAACGTGTCTATTTATTTAAATATCTTAAATTCAGATAATAAAAATGTTCAATTTTTTCAAATTACGATGCAGACCCAACAAAGCATATATATTCTGAATCCACTCTCCAAGACCTTTCATGTTAGACATGATCCCGTAATTTTTAAATGTTCAAAACTTCGTAGCCACAAAGGTACACTCTTAGAAATGTATCTAACTCGGCGCTGAGTAACTTGCCTGCATACACCGTAGGGGGTATTGATAAGTCTACACAGGGCAAAGTGGCCAACCCTTCACCGGGTTTGCCCAAACTTTACTCTGTTTAGCCTACTTTGCTTGCGTTTACTCCATAAAGAGTTGGCAATGCATATTTTACTCGTGGTAGAGTTATCTGAGTGAGTTGGGCAGGGAGATCATCATACCTCGACACCTGCAGGGTCAGCCACAGGGTCTAAATCCCAAAAATTTCGCAGGGTGTCGGTCATTTTTTTGCAATTTTCGCCGAAGGCCAAAATTCCAAAATGTATCTTCTTAGCATAAGATAATGTGAATATTACTGCATAAGACATATGTAGTAATGATGGCTATGTCACTCTTCTGCAGCTTATTTTTAACCTTTCAATAAGGTTTCAATTGAGTGACTCAATTTAAGTATCAAAGTTGCTTCAAATTTGAGTGCATATTATGTAAAATCTTGAAGTGCGAGATCGTGACGATTAATTTTGCGCTATTTACGCCCCCGGTATAAATTATTCATTTGTTGTTAATTTGAGTTGTTGAAATATAGATTAATTAACTTCTTAATCTCAAAAGGTTACTTACAGCTCTTTAGTACATTTACACTTAGAAATCCAGTGTTAAAATAATCATAGTTAGCGATATTCATATTAATATGAATATGACTTTACCAAAGTGTATCATTGCGTAAGGCTCTCGCCCTTTCGAGTTGATCACTTGAAGCTTCGAAATTTGAAATTGTTGTGGAATATGCTAAATACATGCTACATGCCACAAAAATTTCATAAGTCTACAATGGAAAATAAATTTCGCACACGATTTCAAAATGAAGAAGTCGATAAACAAGTTTTGAATTTAAGTACATACCAGAATTTGATTGACAAAGACTCGAAGAAGGTCTCACTACATTTCATCGGACAGGGTTGTGGCCGTTCAAAAATTAAGTTATACAGAAAAAAGTATGGAGAATTCGAAGATGTAAACGTCAAATAACTACCATATGTAAAAACGATCAGATCGACCCATCGAAAGTTAAAAACAATCCAACCTTTTTTAAAATTATCCACCCACGTAGGTGTCTGATGCGGCCATGAAGTCAAAGATTAATACAAACCACTTGTATCATATTAAAGCCCATAAACCGTGGGTCAAAGCGTATGCAAAGAAATTTCCATCAAATCATAAAGGAACGAATGAAAAAATGGTAATCGCACAACCTACGAAGCTTTACAACAAAAGTGCACCAAAAAAGTTGGTCATTCACGACGAGTTCTGCTCTTAAAAACGTGACAGAAACTCCGGGAAGGCAATTTTTCTATGGGAAATAAATCTCTCAACTGAAAACCGAAGGGAAACTAAAATGTTGGATCAATGGCGTTGGATAAATTTGCGCATGTTTCGGATCCCTCAGTTCACAAAGGCTGTGAGGACACAGGTTTGTTTTCAGAAATGTGTGATAGACCGTCTGATTCCTTTTATGGAGGAATGTAATTTTTTTGGACGATCTTGGACTATCTAATCCACAATACAACAACTATTAAGGAAGAAATCGAAAAAAAATTCAGTTTGATGTCGAAAAATGGAAACCTCACATATGTCCATCCCTCATCTTCGCTGAATAAAAAAATGTGGGCTATGTTGAAGAAATACTCCCAGCTTTGGGAAACAGTCGATAATTCAAGAAAATTTTTCATGCATTTTTGGATAAATTACTTTTTTCTCCGCATTTATTTCAACATTGGAAGGTAATTTTGACCATTTAATTATGAATCTAACGAAATATCTGGTCTGAAGCCATCTGACACATCACACCAGATTTGGTAACAAATAGGTCAGAATTGCTATATTAGCCGAAATCCTCTAGAATTTAGTAAAGATTATGGTAAAATAGTGAGGGATGGATGGGTTCTAAGCTGGTAGTACATGGATGAATCTGATAATTTACTGCATCAATCAACCAGAATGCCTAACGAATGCAAATTTCAACTGCCTCGCTACAAGTAGGTTGTTGGAGAAGTTTTAGAACTAACCCGTTCCCTCGAATTCACGAAGGTAAGGAAACAAACCCTAATTAAGCACTATGGACGAACTAACGATCTGGCGTGAGCTAATGGATATATGGTTTCGTCCAACGTGTCTTCTATAAAAATATGAAATACATCTGAATGGATGCCTTCGATGGTCTCCTTCTAGTTTACGCGATTTTGGTGCGACCCGAATGACTTTCAATGGGACAGACCAGTTGTGGTTTATGTAAGGATTTGATTGTGCCGGCAATATATACTAGAAGGAAGGTGAATGTTTCTCGTGGTACAATGGGCCTGGAAAGTGGTAATGAAGTTTCCCAAGATCAAACTGTGGCGATACAAGCCAGATTGGGCGAAGGAAACGCGTTTTGCAACAACATAGTGCAATATCATTTTTCTAAGAACGGCGAAAACCCGTTCAATGACAATAAAACCAAGCCACAGGGCAGTCTCAGAACATAGCCAGACCTCAATTTAATCCAAAAGAATTGCGGGGTATAGCTAAGAAAATCTAAACAGAAGTTAAGCTCAACCGACGATGAGAACCACTTGAAACAAGAAATTTTTTGGTGTATGGCGATAGTGTGAATAAAAGTATGCCGACTTCATGCTGAATTCAATCTGTAGAATTATCTCGAAGAATTGAAGTGTAACGAAGTTCTTGATATCAAACCTACGCGTTGCAGTCGGTCACAAACTGATAAATGTATTCAATAGTCAAATTTTCCAGGTGGCTGTAAAGTTTTGCACCACCTATTTTTTACATTTAGGAGGAAAAAAGTAGTGCGCGGTGTATTTCGACTTAATGGCTCCTGTCAAGTGTGTAGTATAGTGTTCCACACATTATAGCTAAATTTGGTAATTTATTGATGACGCGATCAAAATTTATGACGAAAACGAGGGTGGCTGTATAGATTTGCACCTGACTGTATGTCTTTTTTGTTCGCGTATGTAGGTAGTCAGATATATTTGTAACATTCTACACAAATTTGAGATTTTTGGAATGGTTTATTGACTAGAGTGAGACCTATAGGAACAGAGTCTAAGTGAGTAGCTGCGGGATGGGTACGTTCCGCAGGGCCGGGCCCCGAAGGGTCCGGACCATCGGGCTTACTTAAAAATTTGCATACAAAAATTATAATTTCTTTTACATAATAGCTTGGACACATCTAGTTTTTGCGAATTCCTATTAGGTTACAAGTTTCATGAATAACGAAGTTTTCGGGATACAGCCCACTTCACAATTTTGGCATGCTTACTTATTTAACAATTGTCTTGTTTATTTATTATTCTTGACATTTGTTAAAGTAGAGATAAAATGACGGATACGTTCCATAGCTTTTCGCATCGATTTCATTGAATCAAATAAAATTAATTGTAAATGCAATTGTGGGTACAAGGACAAATGTACCACAACATTTTTTGAATTCTGTGCAACCACACCCCCTATAAAAATAAAGGAACAAAGTTCGGAAAAATGAGAAAGTCAATGTACATCGTGTAGAATAAGAGTTAGACCTATACTTGCATTTGCAATTTGACTTCCCCTTGAAATACGAACATTTTAATGCATCAAGAGTTTCAAAATTCGAAAATTGGCGGTTTTTTTACGTACACAGAAATCCTTAAAAAACGCATGGTACCACCCATTTACTTCGGACAACCCGATGCCAGATTTTTCTCCTTGGGAAGAGCTACATTTTCAGCTTTTGTTGCCCGAAGGGAATCGATGGTACCACGAGAAATTTGGGGTCAAAGTTTCTGAGGGAGGGACTTATTTTGCAAGAGCCGTAACAAACTCTGGCCACTAATGAGATATGGATTTCAACCACCCAACTTAATTAAGTTTGTGATATTTTAATTACCTAATCACCCCAAATTTAAAACTTGAGCTTTTTCGAATTTATAATGGTGATATCCACTCGAAAATTGACGCTACAGAGCTTATCACGGCACTTATCAATTTGTCAGATAAGCAAGTTTGGTTTATCCAAATCGACCCAAATTTAAAACTTAAGCTTTTTCGATTTTATAATGGTGATATCCACTCGAAAATTGACGCTACAGGGCTTATCACGGCACTTATCAATTTTTCAGATAAGCAAGTTTGGTTTATCCAAATCGCCCCAAATTTAAAACTTAAGCTTGTTTGATTTTATAATGGTGATATCCACTCGAAAATTGACGCTATAGAGCTTATGACGGCACTTATCAATTTTTCAGATTAGCAAGTTTTGTTTATCCAAATCGCTCCAAATTAAAAACTTATCTGAATTTCTAAATGCCAAAAATCATGAATTTCGGCGATTACAAAAAATTCGTATTATAATGTTTAGTAGACAATATGCAGTAATTTTGGGTTTCGACTATGCTTAGTCCAAGAATTATTTGATTATAAATAATTCCTGCTGGAAAATCCAGTCATCAGCGAGATAGCAGCAATCTCGGACCCTGGTCCTTTGCGCCTTAGGTGATGTTAATTTAATTATCGCGCGATAATTAAACTAACATTCTTACCAATTAAAAACAAGTCATTGAAAGCCAAGTTGATGAATTAATTTGCGATATGCGATCATGACTAAATTACCAAGAGATTTTATTTTCGTAAAATTGAATGAATTAAATAGGTTTATAAACCTATTTTACAACAGGTTTATAAAACTATTTAATGATATGATTTAATAAATAACTTTATTAAAAAATATCTTTGGGAAACAGTCACCAACACCACCATTCGAAGTCCATCTTCGCCACCACTTCCTTATTCATCGCTGAAATTGTCTAAAGAGTCTGTCTACTTCTTCCTGCTCCTCCAGTGAGATGTTGATTGTCCTTCCACGTCTTGATGCTCTTGATGGGAAGATCTTCTTGAGAATTTGTCCAATTTTGATGTAACAGGACGCGTTTTCAGAAATATAAGAGGTTCCAAGTTTTAATTTTGAGGTGTTTTGTTTCCAGAAAGTCACCTTTACTTCTTGGTCAGCAAGGTCCACTTCATCGATGATGGCCACGTACCACTGGTTTTCGTAGACACATGCAATCCAATCGCTGACGGCACATTCATCGATGATGACCAGAGGTTGAGCAACTTCGGATTCCATTATTTTAGTTGCCATCACCGTGGTGTCCCGAGAAACTTCATAAAGGTGAATTTTTCCCGATCCAATTTCAACACGGTGAGCTTGTTGAGTTCCAGGAATGGTTGTGATGGTCTCGTACCGGGTTGTCAAATCTTTTTCTTCAATAATCTTCTGAACTTCGGAATCCGAGACGAATATATATTCAATTCCCTCAATATTTGAACTGCACCAGAGGAAGAATTCTTCTGCGGTTGTAATTTTGATACCTTGAAGAGATGCAATTCTTGCTCGACGTTTGGAAATTCCTCCTTGAGCATCTTGAGGTCCCTTCATATGAGCAGTTGCTCCATAGTGCCATACGGCTATAATTCCAAAGTCGTTCTGATGGTGGTATAAGTTGCAGAAATTCTTGCGATTCTTGTATTGAGCTGCAGATCCATCTGAAACGTAGTGAATTTTGGTAATTCTGATTTGGGCAGCAGCAAACTCTCGAACAAGTCTTGGTATGAGCTTAGTCTGGAATGCGTAGAAGGAATTTGTGTCATGAGTGGTGCAATCACTGATAATAGATATGCTCATGTTGTATACAACTTCGTTCACGGCCCAGTAGATTGTGAAGGGGTGAATAGTGATCTGTTTGTGGGAGAAGTATTCGGACTGGACAGCATTCTGGATTACAGGTGAGTAGTTTTCGGAAAAGTCTCCCCAAATGAAGAGCTCACCAGGCTTGAGATTCTTTCGAAGATCCACAAGAAATTCATGCTGAGCTTTGCTGATGTAGTGATGTTTCAACAGCTTCTCCAGTTCCGAAGTTGCAAAGTCCAAGAAGTCTTCGGTTTCTTTTTCCTCAGTCACGTATTGAGTTCCGTCTGTCGTCAGCCATCTTCGGTATGAAATTGACGTGTTGTTCCTGATGACTTCGTTTTCTCTTAAAGCTATTTTGAAGTTTGTTGTAGATCCTTTACACTTTGTACATCGTCTGTAGTAGCAATCCTTGCCTCCACTTTCACAGACTAATTGTGAAATTGAAGGCTTGATGGATGAAATCTTGATGGCATGGAACAGCAGCTTCACATTTTCATGGTAAATGCACACGCAAACGTTGTGGTATCCCTTGCTGGTTAGCGAGATGCATTCTCGTGGCCGCAGCATCATGAATGACGATTTCCCAACTTTCGAATCCGGGTACTGAATCTTGAAATTTTGGTAGAACTCCCTGAGATTGCTTAGAAGATATCGTTTCTGCTTGTGTTCTCGTCTTCCTGTTTCCTTGTTCTTGATGGACAGAAAATCCTTTTGTCCTGGGCAGGCTCTTGACACATCATCTTGATAATAGAAATCTTGAATATTGGATTTGGTTTCTTGGGTAATTTTGTATCCAGATTTTGGTTTTATTGGAGGAAGGATTGTGTCGGTTTCTTTACGACGTTTGCGGCTTCCCTGGACCAAGCGTGTCCCAATATTGGAGAAATCTTGAGTCTTCTTAATACTCCAAGACGGTGGAACTAAGGTAAGCAGTTGTTTTTTTTCGGCTTGAGAACATCCTTGCAATCTTAGCTTCAAGTGCTTCATGATCCAGTTGAGATCTGTAGAATCCTGGAGAAGTTGTTCTTGATTGTGTTGTTCTTTGTCTGGAATTGGTAGTCCGACATCTTGGAATCCTGTGGTGATTGTCTTCGTTACTTGCTCAAGTTCTCTTGTGACTAGATTACTTTGTTGCTTGAGATTTCTTCTGTTCAATGCTATTGCAGGGGCCGAAGGGGAAATTGTTTGCTTGATACTTGTTAACGTCTCGACCAATCTCTTCTTTGAGGCTGGTTCTTCAAAGGTAGGATCTTCCGAATCTTGATCTTGAATTTCTTGGGTATCATCATAGCAGAATTTTGCGTCCTTGCATATCGCTTGATTTGGTAATAATCCCAGGGCTTTGTATTGGGTAAAGTAATCTTCCGCAGTGATGTATTTCACATTTTTGCCTTTGTATTTATTGTTATGCTTTGGATGACAACATGTGCGAACACGGCGCCGTCCAAAAAACTCAATGCATTTTGCACAGAAAAAATTATCACTGAAAATAAGTTTGAAATTGAAACCTGGAAATGACTGCCTGACAGACTGCATAGTTCTGCTTTGCACAATCTTGTCTAGAGGTCGAGATTCGTCTTCAGAACAAGTCCATCGGTGGTGGGCAATCAAGAGTCCAATGTCGCAGCGACGTACTATAAAGAAAACAATTACCACTACTTGAATTTTTGACATACTTTGAAACGTTTTTACTAATTGGAATCTTCCAATAGAATTTTATTAGCATTTTCTAATTTTAAAAATTAACCTGTCTCTGAATATTCAAAACTTTTGTAAAAATTTCCAACTGTTAATAATAACCCAATCTGTTTTTTGAAAATTTTAAAAATCTTCCCTAATTTAAATAATTATCTTGCAAAATTTAAATAATTACCCTATGTCTGATTTTATGAAAATTTAAAAAATCCTGCCCAAGTTAAATAATTATCCCATCGCTGATTTTTTGAAAATTTTAAAAATCTTCCCCAATTTAAATAATTATCCCATCTCTGATTTTTTTAATTTCAGGAATCTTGTCCAATTTAAATAATTATCCTATCTCTATTTGTTTAAAAATTTTAAAAATATTGCAAAATTTAAATAATTAAGCTATCTCGGCTTTTTAGAAAATTTTTAAAATATACCCCCAACTTAAACTATCCCATCTCTGAGTTTTTGACAATTTTAAAAATATAACATAATATAACAATTTTAATATTTATCCCATCTCTGATTTTTAAAGCATACCATTTTCAATAATCCGTTGCAAACAACGATCGAAATGTAGCAAAAAGGTAAAGCGACACGGTCACACGGTCGTGACAAGTCAAAACAAAGTCGATTTTTGAAATCCACGACCAATCTAAAACGGTCAAGACAAAAAATTCGACACGTTTGACCGTTGCTCTCAGAGATTCAACCTTAAAAGGTACCTACCTTGGCTTATTTCGGTGGGTGTGGTAGTATCCGGTGGTGGTGGTGGAAGTGATGTCGAAATTGGGGGTGGCGGTGGTGGCAGGGGTGATATTGGGGGTGGTGGTGAAGGTGGCTGCTCTCTTGGGAGGGAGGAGTGAGCCTCCATGATTCACTTTTTTAATATTTTATAAAAAAAACTCCCACTTTTTTAGTTTTATTTTAAAAAACTGGAGAATTCCAAAGATGAACCAACTCGTGTGAGAGATAAAAAGCATCTCAACACGAGTTGGTTCATAATCCCGGTAAACAATTTGCAGAGAGTGAGAAGTGAGACAGACCACCATACGGCACTGTCGCATCGACAGTCGCCGGTGGTGGTGATACCCACCAGAGTCCAACTCTCACTCTGCTTTTTGCTAAAAATGGAAACAGGGTTTGTGGAACAGTTGGTATGGCTCTCCTCAGTACATGTACAGTAGAGGTACATGAATCGGAATCAGAGCTCCACGTCGGTGAAATATCCGCCGCAGCCGAAATTTTTACCCTTAATTCTCAGTCAATAATTGTAACAAATATATTTATTTAACTTGGCGATATAAAATATCAAGCCGTTACTCAAATATTGAACGGATCATTTTTAATTTCATGGAGGCTCTGTACATACAAAAGACCCCCAACACAATGAACAAGGACTCCGGCATGGAGATCAACCGAATTTGGTCGTCGCTATTGGTTCCACTTATCAAGCAATCATAAATTATTTAAATTTTAAATTTTAAGTCTGTGGGAATAATAATAATCGATTTGTAATATTTTCCGTCCTGAAGACGATAACAATTCGAGATTGAAAGCTTGAAACCATTTAGAAAACAATAAAGTTTTTCTCATATGTACATCCACAATGTCCGTAAATAATAATTCTCCCAATTTTGAATTCTGTGGATGGAAGACCTTAAAACTACTCATAAAAAGACAACACGGCGAGTCTATGCTGATGGATATTCTTCAATACCAAAAACAAGGGATGAAGAAGATCAAGATAAGAAATGATATAATATTTTTGAAAAGATGCAAATCAAGATTAAAAATAACTGGAAATACCTCCATGAAAGTCATTCGTTTCTCCAAAAAGCGGAAACCTCTTTTTTAAAACTTCATATTAACTACAAATTTACCCAACTCAACGAAATTAAAAAAACTCTGAACAGTTTACATCACAAATTAACTCTCCTCTCACCAGAGCTACTACAACACTTTAACTCCCTTTTGGAAAAGAAAAAAGGCAGCTACAACGACATCATCAAGCAGCGCCAAAGAACAAAATTTGACCACCTAATGAAAAAAATGACTCCCACACTAATCCAAAATTCCCAATCCACACACCGTATTCATACTATTCCCAATAAATCCAGTGTCATAAACTTATCATCAAGAAAAATCACCCCACAAGAGGAGAAAATCCTTAAATTGGGTCTAAACTATGCCATCCCCACAAAACACCACCAACAATCACTCGTTGAAGCTGGTATCAACATCGAGCTGTGTCTTAAAGATTTCGACGTCACTGAACATGTGAAAAATAAGATTCGATCTGATATTGCTGCCATCATAAAATCAGAACGAAACAAAGAAGATCCAAAAAGAAAAAACTATGCATGGATTTCTCAACAAACCAAATCCATAAAAAGTGACCCTTCAATTGTGATCTGCCCTGCTGACAAAGGAAATGCGACCGTCATCCTTAATAAAGTCGATTACAACTCTAAAATTGAAACCCTCTTGTGCGATCCTATATATGAAACTTTATCAGGTGATCGCACTTCAGCTCTATCAAATGAACTCAAAGATACTTGGAAAAGTCTGCTCAAACTCAAAAGGATATGAAAATCAGAATATGACACAATAACCAGAGGAAATCCCAAATGTCCAAATTTCTACGGCCTTCCCAAAATCCATAAACAAGGAGCTCCACTACGCCCAATAGTTGGTTTAAGAAATTCACCCCTTTATAATTTATCGTTCTTCCTCAACAAGATTCTCAAATCAATCACAGGTCAATTTCCCACATCTCTAAGAAATTCGTACAGTTTCGCGAAGGATATTAAAGGATTTCGTGTCCCTAAAAATTACAAACTCGTGTCCTTCGACCTGGTATCCCTGTTCACCGAAGTACCCCTACAAGAAACCCTTAACTACATCAAAACTCGGCTATCAGAATCCCAAGTTTGGCAAACGTACACCAGTCTCACAAAAGAGGACCTTATCAAACTAATATCACTATGCATGAAATCAAACTATTTCTCGTGGAACTCGCGTTTCTACAAATTATCGGACGGAACACCAATGGGCAGCCCATTATCCCCAATTTTTGCGGAGTTTTTCCTTCAATCTCTGAAAAAAGAAATAATTATCAACAACCCAAACATCGAATTGTTCAATGTAGACGACTGCTTAGCATGCATCCACAAGGACTACATAGACCAACTTTTGAGTATCATGAACTCATATCATCCTTCCGTTCAATTCACCATCGAGGAAGAAGAAAATAACCAGATACCGTTTTTAGATGTACTCCTAATCAAAGACGACAATGGCGCTATCCACAGAAATATATACAGGAAACCAACACATACCGGCCGTTATTTGAATTATGAATCTTACCACCATTACTCTCATAAATTATCAGTAATAAACGCTTTAGTTTTCAGAGCTCTCATCATTTGTGACCAAGAATTCCTAGATCAAGAGTAGGACCACATCATGATGACTCTGATAAAAAAACTCTCGGGCTCTCGCCATGGGAAGTTGATCACTAGCAACTTGGGATACAAATTTTGTAAGAGAACTGGTTTTGAAAACCAAAAAAGTATACCTCTCCAAATTTGACGTTGCCTAATTTCTCAGAGTACACAAAATCGGAAGCCAGGTATGCTCACCTATAGTTTAAGACATGGGCTTTCACATAAAAATGCTAGAAATATGTACAACTTATGTAAAACCATCGCACAATTAAATTATGAATTTGTGCAAACTATGTCTGGACACCTTTTGTACATTTCAACAGAGCATGGCGTGGCCGTGCAAAAATTAAGACTTGCAGATAAAGTATGGCGAATCCAAAAATGTCGCTCTAAAATACGCAGCATGAGTAAAAACAATCATAATGACCCATTGAAAGTTAGAAAAGATTGAATTTATTTTTTAAAAGTGTCGCACCATGTTCGTGCCTGATGCGGCCAAGAAGTTAATGATTAATACAAACTACGTGTATCATATTAAGGCCAATAGATTGAGGGTCAAAACGTATGCAAAAAAAATTTGCACCAAAATATACCTAGGCCAAGAAAAAATGGTAAACGCAAGACTTCCCAAGCTTTACAGAAAACTTTCACCAAAAAAGTTGGACATTTGCCACCATTCCTACGTCGTCAATAACGCGACAGAAATTCAGGGAAGTATTTTTTCATGGCAACCTGAGTGAAACCTGAGTGAGACCCGACGAGAAATTAAAATGCTGTTAAATATTTCTCAAGAAAGCCTCGATTTTGCTGTGGTTGGGCCAAATTGAGTATGTTTATGACCCTTAAGTTCGCACGGACTGTGTGGGCGCACATGTTTATTTTTAGAAATGTATGATAGACCGTCTAATTCTTTTCATACACACGTACCATAAAATATAAAATGTAGTTTTTTGGATCGATCTTGGACTAATCCAAAATGCAATAACCATCATGGAAGAAATCGAAAAAAAATCAGTGAAAAGTAAAAATGATCTCCTCACAATTAACTCCCGTAGAAATTTTTCATAGTCTGTAAAATTTAAGAACCAGGTTGAAACCTTGCGAATTTTTTTCACAGCGTCTCAAATTTAATAACGAGGTTGACACTCTGAGAAATTTTTCACATCGTCTACTACTGAAGAACCAGGTTAACTCCCGTAGAATTTTTTTCACAGGATCTCAAATGTAGACACCAGGTTTACCCCCTGATAAATTTTTCACAGCGTCTCAAATTTGAGATTCTGCTAGACACCCTGCGACCATTTTTCACTGCATCTCAAATTTAAGAACCACGTAGACACCATGCGATATTTTTCACTACGTCTCAAATTTAAGAACCAGATTGACACCCTGCGAGATTTTTCACTGCGAATCAAATTTAGGACTCTGCTAGACACCCTGGTAAATTTTTCACGGCGTCTAAAATTTAAGAACCAGATTAACATCCTGCGACATTTTTCACAGCGTATCAAATTTAGGACTCTGCTAGACACCCTGCGAAATTTTTCATAGCGTATCAAATTTGAGATTCTGCTAGACACCCTGCGATATTTTTCACTGCGTCTCAAATTTAAGAACCAGATTGACATCCTGCGGCATTTTTCACAGCGTATCAATTTTATCTGCTAGACACCCTGCGAAATTTTTCATAGCGTCTCAAATTTGAGATTCTGCTTGACACCCTGAGACGCTGCTTCGCAGCGTCTGAGGGTCTTTTTCGCCTTGCAGGGTGTCCGACCCCGCGGCTTCGCCGCAGGGTCCCCGGCGTATTAGGAGTATACCCGTGTCGAGGTATGGAGATCATAGTGCGGCAGGAAGAATTCAGTGATTCAAATTTTGAATTTATACAAGTACTAAATTATACAATTACCAATTATTTAATTGGTTTCTATACATACGTGCCGACTAACATATTGGTTAAAATTAGACATGCACCGAGTACCGAAAAAGTCGACTCGGCCGAGCACCGAGTACTCGGTTATATTTTTGCCGAGTACTCGTTTCTGCTCGTTTGCCGAGCACCGAGCAAACCTCGGCAATCGAGTACCGAGCCAGGCTCGCCCACCGAATAAATTGTCAAAAACATCATCAAAAAAATCATTGTTTACATAATATTTAATTACTAGTACCTTTATTTTGAGAACTGATGGACGGAATCATGTGAAGCTACGGATTCTTATTCCGTTTCCAGCATTTCGATTAAAGTTGATTACCCGATAGAATTAACAAATTTCATTGGTGTATTTTTCAAGTAAGTTTGATGTTGATTGGAAAAATCACATGATGGATAATTTGAACTGCTCGGTGTAAGTACCAGGTAAAGTGATACTGGATGCATATAAAAATTTAAGAAATACTCGGCCGAGCACGCAAAAATACTCGGCCGAGTCCGAGTAGTGAGAACACGGCCAAAACCTGCCGAGTACTCGGCAGCGCCGAGTACTCGGTGCATGTCTAGTTAAAAATATGTATTTCCCTTAACAAATGCAACGAATTGTTTTCATGAAAAACATGACATTAAAGCATGCATCTCTGTCTGGGACTGTGCAAAAAGCATGTGGTAAATTTGCCTGGAGATACCGGTCAGCATCCTATCCTGCCCATGTTAATTCATTATATGTAACATGGGGCATATTGTTCACGGTAATGGATAGGGTCAAAATTCTCCGTAAATCGATCACATTCTTTATGTACTGGCTCCAACGGTGTCCCTGTGCTTGGGGGAACGTCCATATATAACGTCTTGAAAGAGGTCGATGAGTGGTTTTGGGTCGTCAATCTTATTTATGGTCAGGTTAACATGAGTAGGATTGGGACGGGATGGTCAAAAAATTGGTGTTTTATGATGACGTAATGTATGCACGTTCCCACGCTACACTCGTCGTTCCCAGTATATTCTACACACAGCTGAGAAAATACAGCAAACGGCGATTGTGAAGTCACAATTTGCTATTTATTATTTAATCCGTCAATGAATTAAGTAATTTTTGCAAATACGTTCTAAATTTATAGACACACAAAACCATATTTGCAATCCATTAACATCCCTGTTTTCACACAAATTTTTAATTAATTAAAGTAAATTCGCCCCCCAACCAAAATGGGAAGGTTATCGAAAGTAAAGATACATATGAGAGCGGTAAGACTTAAAAAATATCAGGCGAATAAGCAACAACAACCTGCCCCACCCCCAATTTCCACCGCAGAAGGTTTGGAGGTCAAACTCGAATTTAGCGAGACTGATGAAATGGATCTCGATTTTGAAAGTGTCCCTGAAATGGGGGAAAGTGGTGTCGCAAATGATAATGACCTGCACTTATCGCCTGCACCTACGGAAGTACAAGGGTCACCACCTAAAAGGTCAAGGTTCACCCGAGGTAAGAATTTTTCAGTTTTTTTTAATAATTGGATTACAAGGATTTTATCTAGTTAAAAAACGATGAAAATTTGTCAATATTTCGAATCCTATCTCTGACATTTATGTAATATCCAGAAATGTGTAGAAAATTTCTACACATTTTTACCAGAAATAGATGAAAGCAAGTCATTTTTTTGAATTTTGAGTACATATATAGTTCCGGAATTAACACACTTGATTTAATTAATATTAACATATTAATTATCTAGAAACGAAGGAAAACACCAATCTGCCCTGCCTCTTGTGCCGAACCCTCACCCCAAATCTTCCCCCTTTTCCGGAATCTGACATGGTCCAATCCGGCGCCCGGGTGATCTTCCTGCTCCGGCAAATCCTTACATTTCCCTCCGTCCGGTGTGCCAGTTTGTTACGGATTTACGGTCATCCGGCCGAGTGGGTGGTTCTCTGCGACGCCTGCGCCCCCATGGTCATCCAGGCGGGCGATCTGTTCGCGGAAATGGAAAAGCTCCGTGTCCAATACGATCAGTTGCGGATCGTTTTAAAAAATCACATCCTCACGGACGCAAATGAAAAGTTTGCCTATTTGAAAATCGACGGGGAGGAAACTAACATAGTCCAAAGAATCGCGAAAGCGGTCCGTTCCCAGGTCAAACGTAACGTTAAGAGGGCAGAAGGTCGGTTTTAGCACTCGAAAAAATAATGTTAATAATGTTTTTAAGAGGTAAATGCACCCTGAATTCGATTCTGTGTATTAAACAAAATGTACGAAATCCAGAGTAAAATTAACTTGATGAGGAGTTTATTGTGTAAATTTCACACTTGATTTAGTACAGTTTGCTTAATTAAGGAAATAAAATTCAGGGTGCATTTAATCTTCAAAAGGATAGCATGATTTTTAATTGAGAAAGATGTTCAATAATGTTGTTTAATAATTACATTTTCTAAACTCAATTATTTATTATTTTTAATTATAGATGTCAAACTTTTCCCAAGACGTAAACCAAAACGGAGCAAAATAAGAGGTCGCCCACCAATGGGGGTGACAAAGGGGACAAAGACAAAGCGGCCAATGGTGAAGAAGAAGGGGACAAACAGAACAATTGTGAGGACAATAAGGGGGAGAAGGAAATTCGGAAAGCAGGAAAGGAGAAAGAACACACGAAATATTCCAATTAAACCGGTACGCTGTTTATTCTAAATTGTTGGGACGTCCGTAAATTTCGTAGCGCGAAGAGGGGGTGGATGGGTGAACAGGGCCTATGAGTCATGTTTAAAGGAGGTGTCCAAAAAAATAATGCGTTACGAACTTTACGAATGTCTCCTTATCACAATGAGCGTACTCACAACGTCTCATTTAGCGTAGCAACTCATTTTGGAAACTTTTTGTGTCGTGAATGGATTCGCAAAATATGATTGTACAAACTCCGTTATCTTATTTTAATTCGGATTATTTGCAATTTCTATATAGAAAATTGTCTTGAAGCATTTAATGGGAGTATGAATTTGCGAAATAAACCCATATAAATAAATAATTGGTAAAATGGGATCGAGTTTTCAGCTAAAGTTTTGAGAAACTTTGCAAATTGTGTTGCTACGCTTGCTCAATTTGCAAAGGTTGACGTGATAAACTATTTACTTCGAAATGAATAATTTCTACATTTTTTTAGACCCTTGAGGCTGAGCCACACCTTCCAATTGAGCTCTACCCCACCCTAGATTTCGCAGATGCCCTGCTCGGCGAGGAAATTTGTCCCCAATTCGAGGAGGACCCGCTCAAAATCGAACCATTCCAGCCAAACATTGAACTCGACGAATTAAAAATTGAATCCGACGACATAAAAATCGAATCTGACGAGTTAAACATTGAACCCGACGAGCCAAAAATCAATGCCCCCCTTCAAATCGAATCCGACCCGGATTATCATCCACCCGAATCCGAATCCGGCCAACACAAAGATGTCGACGGCAACAACCAAGAATTCACAATTGCGTCAAAGAACAAACGTACCACGAGACTGGAAAAGACCGAAATCACGGTAATTAAATTGATTTAAAATCAATTTATTCAATTTATCGGAATAATATTTCGGAAATTATTTAAATAACTTTAATTAATCACGACGGCTGTTCTATTCTCAGAATTTCTGTCCAAAACAAAACGTCCCCCACACCACAAGACTGGAAAAGATGATCAAGATGACAGTAAATAATTGAAAATCATTTAGTTTATTCAATTATTGAACTGATAGTTCATAATATTTGAATTATTTCAATTAATGGTCTCTTTATCTGCAGAACTGCGCTCCAAAATACGTCCCCCTAACTAAAATAACGGCCAAGGCCAAGGCCAAGGTAATGAATTAATATATGTATTTAATTATTGACTAGCACTTCAATTTTAATAAAGACCACTTTATCCGCAGGACTCTGCTTCCACTTCGCCTCCAAAACGCGTCCCCCCTCCTCCGAAGAAAAAAATCCCCCGAAAGAAGCCCACCACCCCCGCGGATGACGACGCAGCCTTCTCCCTCCTCCACATCCCCGTTACCCCGGCCTGGACCTGGCTCGACTTTGTCACGTGGCGTTCCAACCACGCCAAAGCGAATCCCCCCACGTATTCCAGACTTAATCTCCCCATCAAAACCCCTCCCTTCTCCTGGCTCGCGACCCATTTCTCCATCACCACCTTTCCCTGTCCCCACTGCCCCTGCAATTTCTCCACTTTGCCCGCCTGGTACTCCCACCAACCGGCCTGCCGCCCGGAAAACCCCACCGGGTCCAAAAACCCTACCCCCATCAGAGAAGATACCCCTTACCCCATCCCCGTCACGCCCACGTGGACCTGGCCCGACTTTGTCACGTGGCGGAAAACCTATATCCGCACCAACATTACAAGAACTGACCCCCCCACACAAATCCCCACCCTCGCCTGGCTCGCTGCCCACTACTCGATTACGACTTTCCCTTGTCCCCACTGCCCCCAAATCTTCCCCACATTGCCCACGTGGTCGACCCACGAGCGCCTCTGCCCCCACAACGCCAACCCTGGCTACAAATGCCCCACCTGCCAACATTATTTCACCAACACGACCAACCTCGAAGGCCACCAGCGCAGGAAACACTTGCCCCGCGAGGCGCTGACTTGCTCCGGGTGCGGCGTCCTCTACCTGGACATCGTTCCCTTCACCGCGCACGTGACTGCGCCTGATGTCGCTCCAGCCTGTCGCGAGGCTGCAATTCCATGCAAAATCGGCCCCCACGTGGTGCACTACTTCCCCACCACGGCGGCATTCGACCTCCACGTCCAGGCGCGCCACCCACCCCAGTGGGCGCTCCCATTCGAGTGCCCCCAATGTCCGAAGCGGTTCGGGATGTCGACCGCAATGGAGAGACATATCGCCACCATTCATAATTCGACCATTGGAGTGTGCGAAGTCTGTGGCGCGAGTATGAAAGAGAGTTCGCTCCAGACCCATATGAGGGACGTGCATAAGAGCCGCGAGCCCGGAGCGAAGCGGTAAGTTTGCATACACAAATAATCCAGTTGTACCTGTTCACATTCATTTATTTATTTTTTTAATTAGCTACTTATTTGTGTGTGTTCATTATGCCATAAATTCATGAAAGTTAATAATTTTTCAAAATTTTTAAATGAATGCATATTGAATAAATATTTATTCATTTCAAATTCATGAAGAATGGATGATTCGTTCTATTGAGCGAAAATGTTCATCCATTCTGCAATGCAATTTATTCATTTTCAAGCTATACATAATACTGAAAAATTCAATTTTAGCAAGGAGAATTTGGGATAAAATGAATAATGACTTTTTTTCAAATTTTGAAGAAATGAATGACGAATGAATAATTTTTTCAACCCTATAATTTTTATGAACCAAATTTGTTTTGGCAGGTTCGTTTGCGACATTTGTGGGCGCGGGATGATTTCACAAATTAGGCTGACTCGCCATAGGCAGATTCATATCCGGCCGGAGGACGCGGAACATTTGTGCACCCAGTGTGGGAAAAGGTTCCGGTTGAAGGAATATTTGGTCATTCACATGTATTCCCATGACCCCGAGAGGAAGGGGTATTACAAGGGGAGGGGGAAGGGTGACCCCCAGCGGAGGGGGTTGGGCGGGGCGAAAATTGGGAGACCGCCAGTCAAACGGAAGGAAGACGAGGGGGAGGGAGACCAGGATTCCTTGGGAGAAATGCATTCTAAATAATCTCTAACGTGTCTATTTATTTAAATATCTTAAATTCAGATAATAAAAATGTTCAATTTTTCAAATAAAGATGCTGAAGTAATAGGAAATACAATTTATCGAGCACATACGTAAAATTCTGCCAGCTTCCGTCGATCTCTGATATACTTCAATCTGCAAATCGGTCGAATTAGGTTAACTTGGGAAAAATGGTGGTGTGACAGTACTTAAAATTACTGTGTTCGCCATTTTTTAAATATATGAAACTAGCCTATAAGCCCGTCCTAGAGACGGGCCACATTAAATTTTTGAACGTTGCTAAGGATTTTTTTTTATTTTGCCACGGATTTTTTCTTACGTTGCTAAGGAAATTTTTTTACGTTGCTTAGCAGTAGGGTTGCCGTTTTTATCCGAGATTATCCTATCCGATCGGATAGGATCGGATAATGTCGGATAGGATAGGGAAAAATACGATTCGGATATCCGTCGGATAGGATAATTTCTTCAAATTATCCGACTCGGATTATCCAATGTTGTCCGTCGGATATCCGACGGATATCGGACAATTTAAAAATGACGAGTTAAGTGTAATTTGGACACGTTGTATGTGCGAAAGTGAAGTAAATATTCCGTCTCCAATTGCATTTAATTTTCATCCATGAATATATTTAAGTAATTCCAGACAAATCTTAATAAAGTTAGTAGATGTAAAATTATTAGAATTTCATTCTCTTAGTAAAATAATGAAAATGAATAAGGTGGAAAATAGAAGGTAATTGACATTGTAGTCGTGGTAGGTGGATAAATAAGTCGTCGTCGGCCTTATTGAAAAATTATGTTTGAATGGAATTTGTGGGTAAAACATAACTAATGCAAAATTTTTAAGGCATTCGGTAGTGAGATATTCGGTAGATTCGGTAGATAATTCACACTCGCAAGTGGGGTAACATATTATTACCAAATTATATTTGGCTCTAATGCAACGATAATAATTGTTTCTAAAATCTTTATTTCCACATTTATTTAAAACATTTATTTCCACACTGTAATACAATTGCGAGAAAAATTCCTTGCTATTCGGCTATAAATTATTACCATGCCAGACACAAAACGGTTTCCTCTGTGGTAATATATAACTTATATATTATAATCAAATAAGGTTATTTTCCCATTGCTTAGAGAATCAATCTAGTTCTGTGGGTGCTTTAAAGTAATTAATTTGAATATTGAGATTGTAATAAATTAAACTGATTACATGTTGTGTATTGCGTATCATACATATTCAAAGAAAAGTGGAGACTAACAGAAAGACGTTTGTCAAATACATACCTACATACATATGTATGACTTCTAGATAATTCCTACAATTCCCTTAGTAATGGTCAGTGCACCATAATTTTAAGAGAGCATAGATTGAATAGCCGAAAATTGTTGGCATTATTTGAAATTTTTGTATTTATTTTGCTAATTAATTTGATTATCCTATCCTATCCGTCGGATATCCGACGGATATCGGATAGGATAATATTTCTGAAATTATCCGACTCGGATAATCCGAACAGTGGACTTATCGGATCGGATGAAAATTATTCTTATCCTATCCTATCCTATCCGATCGGATGGCAACCCTACTTAGCAATTTTTGACCTTGCTAAAGAAAATTTTTAACGTTGCTAAGCAATTTTTATATGCTGCTAAGCAATTTTTTTGACGTTGCTAAGGAAATTTTTTATGTTGCTAAGGAATTTTTTTTATGCTGCTAAGCAATTTTTTTGACGTTGCTAAGGAAATTTTTTTATGTTGCTAAGCAATTTTTTTGACCTTGCTAAGGGAATTTTTTAATGTCGCTAAGCATTTTTTTGACCTTGCTAAGGAAAATTTTTTATGTTGCTAAGCAATTTTTTGACGTTGCTAAGGGATTTTCTTATGCTGCTAAGCAATTTTTTTGACGCTGCAAGGAAAATTTTTTGACGTTGCTAAGGAAACTTTTTTATGTTGCTAATTATGTTGCTAAGCAATTTTTTCGACGTTGCTAAGGAAAGTTTTTTATGTTGCTAGGCAAATTTTTTAACGTTGCTAGGGGAATTTGTTAATGTTGCAAAGGAAATTTTTCATAATCATATTCATAATCATATTCATAATCATATTCATAATCATATTCATAATCATATTCATAATCATATTAATAATGATATTCATAATCATATTCATAATCATATTCAAAATCATAACCGCAATCATAACCTAAATCATAACCGAAATCATAACCGAAATCATAACCGAAATCATAACCGAAATCATAACCGAAATCATAACCGAAATCATAACCGAAATTATAACCTAAATTATAACCTAAATCATAACCGAAATCATCACCGAAATTATAACCTAAAGCATAACCGGAATCATAACCGAAATCATAACCTAAATCATAACCTAAATTATAACCGAAATCATAACCGAAATCATAACCTAAATCATAACCTAAATCATAACCGGAATCATAACCTAAATCATAACCTAAATCATAACCGAAATCATAACCTTAATCATAACCTAAATCATAACCGGAATCATAACCTAAATCATAACCGGAATCATAACCTAAATCATAACCTAAATCATAACCGAAATCATAACCTAAATCATAACCGAAATCATAACCGAAATTATAACCGTGCTGTGATTGGTGGAGCCAGAATTTCAACAGCCAATCAGAATGCAGGGATGTCACGGAAAATTCCACGGGACGGACTTTTCGAAATTATAATATAGATTGCAAACACAGGGATCCTACTTTTTCCAAGCGAGTCGCCCTTCGTTTATTTTTCCGATTAGAAACCTCTAGACACTTACACTGGTTATCAAAATTTGTCATTGGGGTTTGCAAAGTTTGAGATTAAAAAGTTTTAAAGCAACTCCTTAAGCTCATTGTTTGTTTAAAATTAGGAATTTTCTAATCAGGAAAACATGAAGAATAAGCAAATAAAGCTAATGATTTTCAGTGATGCATAGGTCATCAGCAGAATAGGTAAACGTGGTTCAAACATTCTGCTTGACTCCTAGAAGAGCGCTAAGCGTGATTCATATCGAATTTAGCGTTAATTGTGTTATATCGCCCCAGTATTATGGATTAAATTAACAAAAAAAGTCCATGAAACCATGGGCCGTACACGGTACAAGAAATCCAGGCCGTACAATGTCTCGCGACGGCTCTGCGCGCTGGTATCCTTCCCATGCTATTAGTATGGTAGGGATACGAAGCGGGAATCAAATTTTTGGTGAAGTAATTCTGAGTCAGTAGTAACTGCGTGCTGATAAATATTTATTTTCTTCATTTAATAAAACTAATCCCAACCAATTACTAAACAAGGTATTATGTACAGAAAAATCATTTTATAAGGGATCATCCATCATCCGGACCCTACATAAATTATGTCTGCATGCATGATCAGGGAGGGGGTAGTGTCCAAGGCTCCAATGCATGATATCGTTCCTATGTTACACATGTTAAAGGGGGTGTAGAAATTGGCGATTTTTGCGCGACATAATTTATGCATGTCCCCTTACACCTTATACTTGTATATATTTATACTCTGTGTATGGGCTTAACATGCGGATAAGATTTAATCGGATTAAATTTAAGAGTCAATACCAGGACCAGCCCTGGTATTGACTGTCCGGTCAAACCGCCATACGACTTATAATCATTAATGGTAGCTGGAGGGGACAAACACCTACTTTTGTGACAAAATATCATTGAAAAACTATATCACAAATTGTTAGGCAATTGTAATTTTTAATTAGCATATGCAGGGAAATTGTGTAGGAGAGATGGCGCCACGTGGGTGCATGTATTTTGTAAAATGTTGTTTTTCATTTGCAGGCTTTTACATGCAAAGCTTATCGGGGCCAGGCTTTTCTTTCTAAAAAGAAAACCATGGCGAGATAAGAAAAGTACGACCAGAACTGATTACTCCACATTGTGGAGTGTTGCATAAGCCAACATGTCATAAAATATGGGGCCATGCATATACTACGTCATCGAAAATTCTCGATTTTAGCACCCACCCACCCAGCGTAAACATCGTGGGATAGGAAATTTTAACATGGGAAAAATAGGAAGACCTAAACCACGCACCCACTAAAATTATGACGTAATATATGAACGTTCCCTATGGCTAAACATGACATTATTCGCATGATTGACACTTAAATAATTATTCCACTGTTTTTTCAACCCCTGCAAATTCAAGTTTATAAAGATTGAAGCCGACTGATGAAACTTCGTTGATATCTCTCGCTATCAGAAATTGAAAAGCTTGTACTAGAGGCGTATTATGGGAAATGTTCCATTCTACGTTGCATCGATTTCTTGGAATTAAATATAAAAACTTGCAAGTAGAGTTCCGGGTGCAACCGTCAATTCAGCATAGCTATTTTTGAATTATATTCAACCACCCCCCTTTTAAAAATTGAGAAAAGAAACTGGGAAAAATGAGAAATCCAATACACACTCGGTACAACAAGAATTAGACCCCAACTTGCATTTGCAATTCTAATTTGCCCATGAATGCGGACATTTTGATGCATCAAAAGTTTCAAAATTCGAAAATTGGCGGTTTTTTGACTTACACATAAATCGTTAAAAAAGTCATGGTCCTACCCATTTCGAGTCTGACAACCTGCTGATGCCAGAATTTTCTCCGTTTGAAGAGCTAACTTTTCAGCTTTTGTTGCCTGGAAATGCGTCGGACCATGAGATTTTTGGGGTCAAAGTTTCTGTGGGGGCCATCTTATATCGCAAGAGCCGTAACAAACTCTGGCCACTAATGAGTGCAGAGAGAGAGAAACAGAGTGAGAAAATGGATCGCGCATACGACCCGTACGCACGATGGTGGTGGATACCCACCGCCAACCACTTTTCTCACTCTGTCTCACCTTCTCCTGCGAAATATGGGAAATGATTTTGTTGAACATTTCGCCTGGTTTTTATCACTAGTCCGCTTATCATATTGGTAGCTTATCTTAATACTACCACAATTGAGGAGAGGTTGTGCATCATGCCATCGCAGAGTTTGATTCCATTTGAATAAATCTGTTGTATTGCGAATTTGCGAACTCAACTAAATAGATTCGAATAAACGCGAATTGAGCTTTTAAACGACGCCAACTCTCAGATTTTACAAAAGTATCGTAAGCCAACGAGGGACCGTCCATAAATCACGTAACGCAAGAAGAGGGTCTAAGGTTCCAATGATTTCGTGCCTATGTTACACATGTTAAAAGGCATTTAAAGGAGCAACAATAGACTTTTTCGTGTTTTTCGTCTTTTTAAGTTGAGCAACCGGACAAAATATGAAAATAAAATTACCCCGTTTGATGGTTTTATTAAAATCCTCCGATTCTACAAAATATAAAATTGGGCATCAAAATCAGGCACCGTAAACTTCACAGCCTCCCCCGGTATATACCAACTTTGTTTATGATGATGCCACTTTAATGCGAAGTTTACAACACATATTTCTCATCATTCTGCAAGTTGCCTCGCACAAATTTAATAAGCTGATTCAGTTCCTACCTAAAAATGGAATTGGGCCCATACGTTCCATTGGAATCGACCAACTGTACGTTGGAATCATTTCTAGGATGTGGGTCATTCGGCTACGTCTTTCAGGCGGTGCGTTTTTCTTCAATTTTAAATTTTTGGATAAGGTCGAAAACGTACATATTTGAATTATTTATTCTGTTATTTGATGACAATAGGTTAATGAACGGGGAAAGGTCTCCGCCGTGAAGATAATATTCTTTGAGACCTCCGGTAAAACGCTGGAGGAGCAGGAAGCTGAGAAACTCCGACTTTCTCGTGAGTACAAACTAATGGCTGGAAAAAAACATGACAATTTAGTCGAAATCCTGAAATCAACCCATAAACCGTTCACTGTAGAAGATATCCAAGCTTTGCTGGACATTCCATGCATTCAAGATAGAGATGACGTTCGAGCAACCCTTCGATTCAGATCGTTTCAAGCTGAGGAAAGGAAGCAAATTCCTACTCTCTGCATCCAAATGGAGCTATGCGGCAAGACGTTGCGTCACTGGTTAAACATTAATAATGAGATTGACAACCCAAACTTGCGTTCAGTTCGTCGGAACATAGTTAAGGACATGTACAACGGTCTAAAGTATCTTCACCTTAATAAAATCATTCATCGTGACTTCCGCCCTGAAAATATTATGTTTTCGTTCTCTTCGACGGGGGGAGAAGAGTTCGCATTTCCAATTAAACTGGGAGATTTCGGACTATGCAGAAAGGTCCATAGTGAACACACTGTAACTGACACACTAACCCCTTTTGTAGGCAGTGTAACGTATCGTGCTCCTGAAACTAATTTTACGGATTACAGCATTCCAGCAGATTTGTACTCGTTTGGTTTAGTATCTTGGGAAATTCTTCAGATAATTAAGCAGAAGGATACGAGATCGATGTTCCACAGGCTGGTTCATGATTCGCAAAAACATCTTGTTATTGAGGCAGACTGGTGGTTTCCAAGGTGGGCAGAACTCATTATCAAGCTTACTAAAAGGCGGGTTCAAGATAGAATTCAAGTCTGTGATGAAATATTGCTAATGGATGCTATTAAGTCTGAAGTTACTGTAGAGTCACATAAGCAATTATCTGCCATCCAAGACTCCTTGGTTCCAGGATATATCGTAAATATTAATATTAAGGATGACACAAGCAAATTTTACTATTTTAAAGTTGACAATGTTACGTACAATGGAGTTAATTCCACCAGCCTTCAACATTTGAGGTTAGAAATTGGCGGAAATTCTTGTACAATTAAAAATCTTACGTTGGAGTCTTTACGCATACAAAGTAATAATTGTATTGTCAGTAATGTAATTTGTGACCAGGTGGATGTTGATGGAGATGGAAACCAATTGAGTAACGTTGAAACTTTGCACATGGGTGAAGCTGTAGGCAATTCCGGCTTCGGTATTTCTATATGGGGGGAAAATAATACTTTAGAATCGTTCAAATGTTGTAATACCCTTGCTAAAGTGATAGAAATCCATGTACGCAGCATACTCCGTCAGAGTGTTGACTGGGAAGCTTTTGCCCAACGATTTGGTCCCGTATGCATTTATTTCTCAAAATCCAGCGATTCATGTACAATTAAAAACGCCAATATACGCAATGCCTTCATAAGTGGAACAAGGCATGGTTTGCTAGACATTGAGTGCAATAATGTGATTCAGATTAATGGGTTAGATCACAGTATCAAGAGCTCAGATGCCGTTAACCTCATTGATAATTCGAAAAGGAGCTTAATAAGGCTAGATTTGTGCAAAAAATAAACATAGACGGAGAAAGTACCCATATGAATATATTTACGTGTTAAGCCAAAAAGTGTTTTCAATTTCATGTATTAAAACATGTATATATAATTATCAGTAAAAATTAAATATTCAATTTTTAAAATACGTACATAATTTGAATTGTTTATTTTACTCCATATTCATTGATCATTGAATATGCATTTTTTAATGGTAAAACAATTGACATTGTAAATATTATTCAAATTATGTAATCCTATCACTCTTTCATTGCACACTCATCTTCTGGCACATACTCGACAAAATTGTCCGGATATCTGGTCGGCCTTTGTGTCCCGCAGTGCGACATCTGATCCCCGTTCAATCTCTCCTCCTGATACGCCCTCAAAAATTCTTCCGTCCAGTTAAACTTGGTCGCGACGAGGTCGAAATAATCTCCAGCGATGGATACCGGCGTGTCGATGATGTATCTGAGTGACGAGGCTTCCTGCACCGTGTGGTAAGTTTCTACACCAAAATCGGCCAGATGCGTGTCCACGTCGTATCGGGACATGCAACCCAACCCGACCCTGGGATAATACCAGAGCAAATTTTGGCACATTTCCTCGTACGTGGAATGTCCTCCGATTACGGGATCTCCACGTCGCCACACGGACGAATACGTACACTCGACCGACATCTGGTCTCCGGGAAGAATTTGACGAGTTTCTAGGAGGATTTTATTCTGCTGGAAGTCGAAATCGTACTGGTTATCGAAATCGATCCAGGGAAGTTCAACATTCCCGCGGAAATGACGGGTCCGCATTTTTCGCCCTTTAAATCAGAGAATTTACTAGATTAGTTTTAAAAGGTATGTATCAGCACCCGGAACTCTGGGTTTTACAAATAAAAGCTTATAAAAATCCCGCCATTTGCATAACTAGTTTTTCAATATATAAGTTAAATACGTTACGTACGTTTCGAAGGTCGAATAAATTAAAACTAATCCTGGATCACAAAAAATAATCCAGATTATTTAAGCTTAATACTTAATTAAGATTATTGTCGGACAAGTAATGCCAGATAAATTTAATCCCTAAGAAAGTGGGTAATACAGATTAATAAAATAACTAATATTTAACCCCTAATTCACAAAAAAATCAATTTCGCGATAACTAGCTAAAACATTTTTGTGTTAGCCATTAAGATGTGTAAGCCCTATTTAAGCCATTAAAATTTCATCGTTTTTTTCAAACTTTCCCACTTAATTCGTTTCTCTTACCGGATTTGTGTGAGTGGAGCATCGATGCGAACACGGTGATTCCTTCGGGTTCTAGGGCCTCCTGGGTGCACTGTGGACTACAATGGCCGACGACCTTGAAAGCGTCCTGATTTGGCGGGACGGTCAGCGAAACGTCGACGTACTGGCCGAGAGCAAGAATTCCGGCGTCGATAGGTCTCAAGTCCGGGGTGTGATACATGGCCAACCCCGTTTCGAAAAGCACGCCCTCCAACAGCTGTGGATTGTCGTAGTGAATTTCGACCATGTAATATTCAGCAGTGGGAGTTTCGCCGATCGGGAAGCCGACATCTTCTGGGAAGATCATCATCTTAAAAGTACAGGAAAGGATGTTATTTGCAAGTAAAAAATGTACAAACTTTTCCGTAACGTTGGGCTCGATGACTCATTATCACCAAAACTGTCAAAATCAATACAAGTCTAATCATTTCTCTGCTCGGGAATTAATTTTAAAATCAAGGACTATGAATTTGTAGCCCTTGAGTTGATTAATAGAATTATGGTGAGCTTTTCAACCCAGTTTTCTTGATAAGATCAAGACTTTCTGATGGCTTTCTAAACTGACTTGAGATCTCCGTCAAAAACTATCAAAATCCGGAGTGTATATTTTTTTAAATTTCGATCTCATGTACAAATTTGGTGTCCAGAATTATAAAATAAATTCCTAGACCCCAGAAGTATCTAAAAATGTGCTGATTTGGATGAAGGGTCTAACGCTAAGTCCGACCAGGAAATGCCCATAATTAACCAATTTGACACTGCTTCAAACTTTCTCACCTTCCCGCCCTTCGCCCACGTGTAGATGACCGACTGACACTGTGCTATTGGGAGTTCTTGTGTTGTGAAACAGTGATCTCCAATGTTCCCGTTTTGATACGTGAAGCGGTCAAAGGCCTCTTCGTCCGTCTGATTTCCTGGCGCTTTGCACGTGTAAACCACAAAATGGTGGGTGTGTTGGAACGATTCTAAGCTGGGTAGGAGGGTGTCAAACTAGAAGGAAAAATTAACAGACAAAATTCAAAAATTTTCCAACTTTTAAAGGAAATTTCGGTTTCTTTGGGAACAATGACATCACAAAGAACCAATTTTATATTAAAGAAATACTTCTCTTTACCGCTACGATGTGATGTTTGCCCGTCAAAGTGGGTCCCTTATGGAACGTGCACCAGTACGCCGTGTCAATCGCGGGCATCGTTATGTTTACAGCGATCGTGTAATTTTGCAAGGTTGACACGTCTAATTCAGGGGTTGTGGCATGGACCAAATTCATACTCTTCGTTCCTCTGTTGGTCGCACCGTGATAGCCGATCGAATCTGTAGCCCCGAGCGCCCAGATAATTCGGCTCGTGTCATTCTAGTCAAATTAATGCAAGTATTTACTTAACTACTCATTAATTTTTAAAAAAACTCAAAATTTTTAATTTTTGAGTAATTTTTGACTTTTTATTTTTTGGTATATTTTTGATTTACGTGAAAGCGTGATAAATTAATGTTAATATACACTGCTTGCGTAACTAATACCTGTATAAGATTTTGGGTGCTGTGACATAAAATTTTAAAAATTGTGCAACTTACCCCGATTGCAAAATCCTGCTCATCACAAGTGTTCAGGAGGCGCGAAAATTTTAAGATCGTCTTATTTTCCGCCGTTAATTCATACGCCTCCAGTAGCCTCCAATCCTGTTGAGTATCCAAGATCGGCGTGGTTTCGCCAGTTGCATGGAAATCCTGACATGAAAAAATTAAATTACAGATTGTTTTTTGAACAAAGACTAAACTTAATTTGATTAGTTCCGAAAATTTTGAATTTAATTTAGAAAATCTAAACCAGAAAACCACTTTTTTTCATGCAAAATTTCTTTACCTGTCCATACGTCGATCCATCCGTTCGGACCCCGGCGATAAAAATATCCGCCCCGGTCATCGTTCCCGAGGGGGAAATTCCAAACCCGACGAACCCCAAGGTTTCCGCCTCTACTTGAAACTCGATCGTATCTTGGACAACGTCCCATCGCAGGAGATATCTCCCTTCGCCATCTAAGGTTTCCTCATTCGCATAAATATGCTGCTTAATCGAGGCGCCGGAACAAATCTGCAGCACGGCGGCCACAAGAATAAGCAAAAACTCCAGTTTTGGCAACATTTTCTTTAAAAATTTCAATCAATCACTAATTCGATGACTCGATTTAACTGTGAACCAAATAGTCAAGACCGGTGTAATTTATACACCTCCAATTCCGCAACGTGACACCGTGTGCAAAACAAATTGTGTAAGGATCTCTATCTAATCTCGGATTGAATCGAGTCCATTCAGTGGACAGCAGTTTCAGGTACATACTAACCTCGTGCCGTGTGTGGGGCTGTGCGATAAGAATGTGACTAATATGATAAGCTTAAGTGGTGCTAGTGGTCCACATGTACCTGGATCAGGCCAGAGTTGGGGCCAGTATTCGAATTGGGCTGGAGTCGGATCCCCGAATTGGATTCGGGGTCGATCCGATATCGAATCCAAAAAGGGTCGCATAGTCGATATTCCTCTTCATATTTGAGATAGACGAATTGTTAAAACGAGCAATTCCGATTTGGACTACGTCCGAATCCTTAGTCGAATCTGAATCGAATTTGAGCGGTGATACATATGTAGATCAAGAATCACGTCATTTTCATCCGAATTATAACATTTGGTCCGGCCACGTGTTGCGCCGTGAAGGATTAAATCACACTAATTCTACCTGAGACGCCATACTTTATGCAGGGTCCTTGGACAGGATGATGATTCATTGCTCAAGATTTGAATGGACAAAATATATAATTACAATCTCAAAATCATACACCTGTTGTTGCAACAAATTAAATACGCAGTGAAAATGAGTCAGCCGAACCTTGAGAATGTACAAAATAATTGTCACAAGGTTTGCTTATCTTTATTGTTGCCTGACTGAACTGGACGACACACTTTAAACAAATTGCGACTGGTCAAAGTCACACGGAGATTTGGACATGATGATCACAATATGAGTAATATCTTTAAGCATTTATGAAGATGCATGATTACTGTGATTCTAGATTTAAATAAAACTCGCTAAATTTGTGCACATTATGAATATAGGCATTAAACAACGGAAACTAGCAAATACTTAAAGATAGACACACGACGTTTATTAAAAATATGTGTAATGCGTGTCCCCAATGAATGAATTGGCTTTAAATGACGTCTAAAAACCAAAAAATTTGGTACAGGATGTAAAAATATTTTTTTTTCAATTTTAGATAACTATAAGACTTACCATACACACCTACAAATTTTAAGTGTCCGTCGTCATCATATAGAAAAGTTGAAGAGATACACACATATGTATGTACACATCTGAATGTTGATCGAATTAATTTAATTGTGTTTATATTCACGAAGGCGACTAACAGATTGATACGTTTACGAGTATCTGTATTTCATTTTTATCATTTTACCATTATTTTTCTCGACACAGTAATATATAAACATAGACGTATTTCACAAGGAGTACATTAGTACATTAGAATAAATACTTAGAATACTTAGAAGAAATAATTTACATTATTAAATTGGCGTTTGATTATTTGCGTCGTTTGACTTTTGAAAAAATATTAATTATTTTGTTAAAACAAATTAACGCACAATATTTCCGACTTTCTAGAATTTATATCACTGCACATTGTTAAATTAAAACGGATTTCAATGAGTTAGATTTTGGCATATTTTAATATTAATGAATTATTATTCATATAAACATGAACTAAACTTGAAACGCTACTGTGCAGGATGCTTTAATTCCACTACGCCAAAAGCGCTGATATCGTAAAATCAGAAATATTCTTAATACTGTTTCTCTCGTTTGGAACATTGTCTTCGACAATTGGCCCCGAAATTTTCGATACCACGTGTTTGAGGTACATTTTTAGCGTTGTTTGATTTTTGTGTATCTTATTCAATGTGTTCGGGGGTATGAATAACCAAGATTTTCTTTTGAAAGATTGGCTTTGG